TTTCTTTCTTTCTTTCTTTCTTTCTTTCTTTCTTTCTTTCTTTCTTTTCTTTCTTTGAAGATAGGGTTTCTCTGTGTAGCTCTGGCTGTCCTGAAATTCTTTCCATAGACCAAAGTGGCCTCAAACTCATAGAGATCCAACTGCCTGTGCCTTCCAAGTGCTGGGACTAAAGTCATTTCATCAGCATCCCAGGGCAAGAATGTCTTGTTTCTTTTTTAGAGATTCGCTCTTGATACAGTTTAACTATCAGTTAATGGATGATCTTGTTCAAGTTAATGACGAGAAATGAATGAAGATTCATTATGAAGTATAGCTTTAAATACTCATCTCAAATATTTTATCATCACCCTCAAACATTTTTAAATAGATTTAATCACCCTGAGTATTGTATTAAAAATAGTAGGAAGACTACAGTGATCTTGTGCTAAATGTGGGTAATCTGAGACAGTGCCTGGAAGGGAAGGCACATGCGTGGTTCTCCAGGATCCACAGTGGGGAATTGGAAGGAGCTGTGATCAGAGTCAGGGAGGAAGGGACCAGGGTGAGAGGCCAGCTGACGTCAGTGCAGAGTCCCCGAGGAGAGCAGTAATGAGTCTGCTGCTCTCAAGTGTGGACAAGTGTTCACAAGCTATTTTCTAAAGACCTGGGAGCGCCCACCAGCACAGCAGAGGCATCTTGAACTCGACGTGACTCATGGTGGTCATGGCTAGGGTCCAGCTGTGCCCAGGGGATAAAGGGGATGTTCTGGCTGCCTCGGATCAAAGGTCAGATTTTCAATCATAGTATTTATATGCTCAATGCGGTCCTGGGTCAGTTTTATTAACTTCTGAGTCTGATTTTCATCACACTGTGAATGGAGATGGTATCTCTTCACTAAGATAAAGAATGCAAATGATACCCAGAGGGGCTTCACCAGACACCAGCCCCACCAGCTCTCCTTCCCACCCTCTACCCGACGCCTACTGTGATGCTCCCCACATCTCCCAGTGGGCAGAGAATGGGGCATAGTTTAGTGATGTAGAAATCATGGGAGATAGATTTAAGTGGTCTTCATTCAGAAGTGAAGGCATAATATGGTAGCCATTTTGGCAGTATTTTGTCAGGCTGGGGTTGGAGCCGGAGCTTCACTATGGCAGCACTGTATGGATGTGCTCCACCCTCCCACCCCGGCCTTGCAGCCTAGTAAAGTTGCATTCCATACACAAGTGTATTTCAAGCTTTGTAGCTCTTCTCTCTCCACACATGGTAGACGGGAGGAGGAAAGTGTCTGACCCTGTTGACACAAACGGGGTATTCCCAATCAGGACCTGACTTCTTGAGATACACAGTAGGTTTATTTTTATTTATTTATTTATTTATTTATTTATTTTTGGTTTTTCGAGACAGGGTTTCTCTGTGTAGCCCTGGCTGTCCTGGAACTCACTCTGTAGACCAGGCTAGCCTCGAACTCTCGAACTCAGAAATCCACCTGCCTCTGCCTCCCAAGTGCTGGGATTAAAGGCGTGCGCCACCACCGCCCGGCACACAGTAGGTTTAAAAAGAAACATTTAATCAGATGTTCTAGATTAAGAGCAATGATGGTGCAGAGGACAAGACCAAGGTCAAGATAAGAAAGATCAATCGCAGCCCAGTAGGGTGGTGCATGGTTTTAATGGCAGCAGGCAAGCAGATCTCTGTGAGTTCAAGACCTACAGAGAGGCTCTACAGAAAGAGGGTACAAAACAAAAACAGCAAAGGCCATTTAGCACAGCTGAGACAACGTTCCAAAAGGGCCAGCAGAGCAGCCCCCGTCAGCAAGAGACACCTGTGGAATAGGGTGTCCCCTCCACTCTGCTGATGGCAGAGGTTCCCTACAGGAGAGCTCTGTTGATTTGTTTTTTTTCTTTTTCTTCTTTCCCTTCGACCAGGTTTCTCTGTGTAGGCTTAATCCATGCTGGAGGAAGCTCAAAGAGATAGAACCTGGCTTTCTGGAGGACACTCAGGACCCAGTTTTCACAGTTAGCAAACCCATTCATGAACTTAATGGGCATAGATACAAAGAACATAAAATGTATTTCCTATGTTCCATGATTATGGATGCCCGTGGTACAGAGTCATGTGTGTGGCAAGTACTTTGTGACGCTTTCCTGGGATGCTGTACTCTGGAAAAGAGGAGAATATTCCAGAGTGTCAAGGGAAGGGACAGTCTGTAGAGACTTCTGGAGAGCCGCTGAGGTGGGGGTGGGGTAGATAAAGAGCAAGCCTGGGAAGAACCAGAGACTGCCACACCTGTTCAAAATCCAGCAGGCAAGGGTTTCTGAACGCCTCTCCCGTGTCCTGCTGGAAGTTTGGATATTTTCCTGCAGAGAACTATTCTGGACTCTGAGCACATCCAAACATAGTTATTTCTTAGGTAACAGTCAGAGAAAAGGATCTTTCGAATTGATTTACCAGGGGCTGGGGTGTGGCTGGCTCAGGGGTAAAGGGTTTTTGCTCTACCTCTGGCTTTTAAAGAAAAAAAAAAAGATGAACTTGTAGTTTAAACAGTTAGGCTGCAAATAGTGAGGATACAACTCACATCTAACCATGGGGGCAGAAGACCAAAAGATTTAGATAGAGGAAAAAATCCCCAAATCCATTAAGGCTTTATTGACGTACATGTGGTTGAAAACACCATTTCATCTACCTGAACATACTGATTACAAATGGCAATTTAGTGAATTTGAAATAAAACAGTGGCCGGGCAGTGCTGGCACACGCCTTTAATCCCAGCACTTGGGAGGCAGAGGCAGGCGGATTTCTGAGTTCGAGGCCTGCCTGGTCTACAGAGTGAGTTCCAGGACAGCCAGAACTACACAGAGAAACCCTGTCTCAAAAAACCAGAAAAAAAATAAAAGAAATAAATAAAACAGTGTTATAAGGAATTATTGTCAGCTGAATTTCCCAGAATAACTACGTCTAATTTTCACACTTAACTAGTAGGTCCAGATCTATGTCCCCTCCTAATTTATTAATGAATAAAATGTAAAGTTAGGGGCTGGAGAGATGGCTCAGCGGTTAAGAGCACTGACTGCTTTTCCAAAGGTTCTGAGTTCAATTCCCAGCAACCACATGGTGGATCACAACCATCTGTAATGGGATTGGATGCTCTCTTCTGGTGTCTGAAGACAGCAACAACGTACTCACATACATAAAATAAATAAATCTTTTTAAAAAATTAAAGTTAAACGTTAAGGAAAAGCAGGAGTGAGTTAGTTAGTATAAGGTATGATGTTGAGTTCACTTACAGGCTTTCTGTGTATGTGTGTAGCTTGTGTGTGCAAATGTGTACATGGATGCCTAAGGTTAATGTCAGTTGTCTTTCCTTGACTGCTCAACATCTTGCTCTTTGAGACAGGGTGTCTCACAGATCCTAGCTGTTACCAACTGAGTCCAGGGGGATCCGTTTGTCCTCAGCTACACCTTTGTCCCCTGCACTAGGGTTACAGCTGTTTGAAGACACCTTCTTGTTTTAATTTTGGTGCTGAGGGTCTGAACTGCTCACAAGGTTCTTATTCTTGCAAGGCAAGGCACTTTATCATCTGAGCTGTCTCTCCAGCCTCACTGACCTTTTTCTTTTGAAGAAACGATAAACCAAAGTTTACAATAAAGTTTTCTCCCTCTGGTCTTTTACTTTGTAAGTGAAAATGCTTATATGGGCTGTAGAGAAAATCCAACGAAACCTTGGCTCTGGGTAAAAATATGAGGAGTGAAGAATGTCTTTGGTATTAGGAGTAGTATTATTTTAAATGACACTCCTCCCCATCCCACCCCCAGCGTTTTCCATTCTGTGTCATTTGCTGCGGAACCCGGAGTAGGATTCATCCTTAAGAGTTCAAGCTTAAGGGATTTGTCAAAATTTACGTTTAGAGGTTTCTTGATGCATACAACTGTGGTTTAGATTTCCAACCAGGGCAAATCCGAAGGCAATGACAATTCGATGTGAACACTTGTTCTCAGGAAAGGCTCTGAGACACTCAATCAATCGTTTGTAACAGAGATGACAGTGCTGTGCACCCCAAGCTGCGCTGAGGATGAAAAGACCTTATTCAGCCTTGCATTTGAACCCACAGTGCTTCCGAAGCAGGAATCCATTCAGATGTTGGATGGGGATGTTGGAAATACCTTTAAAAACAGCACTGCGAAGTAGGGGGCTTTAACGAACTGCTTTGAACTCTCAAAGCAGAGAGGAAGGAAGCAGACAACCAATGGTGGCAAGAACAAGGTGGTAGGGGGGAGTTTGGGACTCCGGCCTGGGCCTGCTGGGGTCGGGTTCAGACCGGATGCGGAGCCCGCGGGCTTCGGCTGTGGCCTGGCTGAGAGCCCGGCCCGTTGGCTCCCGAAGTTACACAGGGACCAAGCGCGGGGTGACAGCTCCGGACGCTTCGGCCAGGCGTCGCGCGAGCTTCGCTCTCCTCACAGACTGTCGGCCCAGGCCGCTCGACCGGAGGGCGCGAGCCAAAGCGCGGCTCCGTGTCTGGGCTGCCGAGATAAACCGGGTGAGGACGCCGGACGCTCACGAGCGGGCGGGCCGGACGCGCTAAGGGGCCTCGACCAATCGCCAGCGCCGGCGATGATTCAAAAGGTGAAGGGACCAATGGGGAGCGCAGAGCAGCCTCGCTAGGGGCGGGACCTCGGAGGCGCGAGAGCGAGGCCGGCAGTGTCGCGCGCGGAGTCGCCGCGGGCTGCTGCTGACTGTCCTAGAGTGGCTGGAATTCCCGCCGGAGCGCGGCCGGGTGAGCGTCTGCGCGGGTCCCAGCCGTGTGTGGAGGGCGGGTTCCCTAGGGCGGCCGGCGAGGCTGGGGCCGCGCGGGCCGGAAGCCGAGCGCGGGGTTCGGATGGCGGACACCCCCCTTCCCGTCTCGGACGCGCGCCCCGGACCGCCCGGGCTGTACTTGCCGTGACGTCCCGGCTCTCGGAGAGCGGGCGGCCTTCGGGGGAGGAGTTAACCGCCTCTGGTTCCTGCCGGAGCGCCGTCCGGCCTGTCCGGGCTTCGTGAGTGCTTCTGCGCGGTGACAGCCAGCCTCGCGCCTCCAGCGGCTTCGAGGGCCACTCAGTGCTCCGGGGCTCTTGGACGACGGCGGGCTGGCCTGGCGTTGCGCCCGCTGTGTGTAGCGTACTTGGTGTGCGAGGGCCGGGGCTCAGGTTCACAAGCAGGAGTAGATTTGGGGCTACGTGTAGCAGCTGTTGTGAGGGAGAAGATGGGGCTGCAGAGAAGCGCGGGATGGAGGACCTAATACGGACAGAGACGGTGATAATGAGACTGGTTTGTTTAGTTTCGGAGCATTGACTGGAGAGGTGGGGTGCGAGTGAGTAAGGACTATCACGGTAATGTATGTGCCTTTGGGTATTAACGGAAAAGGCCATGCGACCTGTACAACCAGCTTTCTTTTGCGTGGCTCTGTAGGGGCACAGACTCTGCAAACGCTTTCTGTTTGCATTTAGCATAGCAGGTCACTGCCGCCGGCTCAGGTGTTAAAGGGTAGCTGTTAGACATCATTTGAGCTTTTTCTTTCTGCCACATTAAGTGAATTTGGGAAAGTGGAGAAACGATTAAAGACCCCTTGTATCGCTCGTGAGCGAAATAATATAAAGAAGTCTGTCGCCAGGCAGTGGTGGCTCATGCTTTTAATCCCAGCACTTGGGAGGCAGAGGCAGGTGGATTTCTGAGTTCGAGGCCAGCCTGGTCTACAGAGTGAGTGCTAGGACAGCCAGGACTACACAGAGAAACCCTGTCTCAAAAAAACAAAAACAAAAAATAAAAAGATAAATAAGATAAATCTGTCACATTGAATCGCAGTAATATATTGTGCCATAATATGTGAGAAGTCCAGTGCCAAATGAGTCTGGCTTGACAGAAAGCAAGCCAGAGGATCCTTGATTTTCTGCTGTGTGTGGTTGAGGGTTCATTGTTTAGTAAGCAACTTTTCTTTGCAAACACCGGTTTGTTTAGGGAAGTTTGTGTGTTTCTATTGGCTTGTTACATGGGTGCATACACACCGGTGTCTGGACCCCTCTTCTCCTATCCAGTATAATTATCTCCTGCTGTGCAGTATTTTGGGACGATATCACATAGCTTCCACTGACTGTGGGTCTTGTACAAAGTGGCATGCACCTCTTGTTGTCAGCCTATACTTTATTGTCTCCTAAGACAAGATTGTTCTCCACCTGCCATATAAAATATCAAGTGTCAGTTCTTGTTTTGTGTTCTTTTTGGTTTGTTTGTTTGGTTGGTTTTTTTTTGAGACAAGATCTCAGCACAGCCCTTATTGTCCTGGAACACAGTGTAGACTAGGCAGACCTTCAGCTGGAAGAGATCTATCTTCCTCTGCCTCTGGAATAGTGAGATTAAAGCCACCATGCCCAGCCAAGCCTAAGTTCTTAATTATTTTTCTCCCCTTTTTTTCTGGGCATCAAATTTCATATTGTACACATTTTAGACACATTTTTGAAGGCTTAAATACCTACTGGGTACCTTGATTCATGTATCCCAAAGTATTTAATAGGTAATAGAAGATTTTGAGGGGTTTTTTTTTTTTTTTTTTTTTTTTTTTTTTTTTTACTTTGACTTTTGTTCCTTGTTGGATCCATATAGTTAATGTGGTGTCTTCGAGATGCAATAAATAACAATGAGTTTAGGACCATACCATCCTAATCCTCCAGATTTCATCAGATCTCTGAAGCTAAACAGGACTGGGCCTGGGTAGTACTTGGATATGATGAATGGCAAGGATTGGATGCTTCAGATGGTCCAGAATAAATCTGTTCAAGGGCCATTTAAAGATGCAGGTGGTCCCAAGCCCCAAAGTGCTCATATTTCAAGATTTTTTTTAAAGAATTATTTATTGTATATATGTGAGTACACTGTAACTGTCCTCAGACACACCAGAAGAGGGCATTTGATCTCATAACAGATGGTTGTGAGCCACCATGTGGTTGCTGGGAATTGAACTCAGGACCTCTGGAAGAGCAGTCAGTGCTCTTAACCACTGAGCCATCTCTCCAGCCCATATTTCAATAGAGTATTGTTTGAGACTCTACTGGCATCTTCATCTAGAAAGACATTGTGGTCTTTCTCAAACTTCGGATGACCAGGGTAGGAGTACCTAATTGATTTGGGGTGGTCTGGGAAGGAAGAGGGGTGGGGAATCAGAGAAGGAAGCCCAGCACATTTCCTTCCTCTTTGTCCAGGACAACTTGGAACTAAGTGTTGAAATGGACAAAGCTCTCTGTTGCCACCTTCCTTTTTTGTGCTCCTCCTCCTTGTGCAGATGGGCCATTGGTCTCCTGTTTCCCAAGGGCCCTCATGGATGCCTCTGCCAGTCTAGCTTCATTCCTAACGATTCCAAACATATTCATTACCCCAGAGATGGTATCTTACAAGTTAGGGAGACTGAGGCAGGCTCTGTAATGAACCTCTCACCACCAGATAAGCACTTTCATTTTCTTTCATCTGTTGTCTTGTCTAAACAAATGAAGCTTGTGAAGTCTTTTTTCCTCAGGGGATTAACAGTGAAGAAATATATTTAGAAAGACTTTCTTGGGAGGAGTAGGTAATGCAACTTTCTCCTTAATTCCACAGTCTGCAAGACTCTTTGGTGTCAGCAGGTTGTGTAACCAGCTCTTAGCAGGAGTGTGTGAGGAGTATGTCTTTATGTGCTTGGGTGATGTATGGAGACTTGCTCAGCAGGTGACATCATTAGCTGAAGGAGTCTTTCTGTCTGCTGCTTGCTTATCATTGGTATCAGAGCACTGGCTTAAGCCTGTGAATCTGCTGCTCAGTGGAGAGAGAAATATTACCTTAGAGCTCCTAGCATAACCATCATTTGATATTACCTCATGTAAATAATTCTTGAAAGTTGTGGTTTCTTGAAGTATTGAAGGTTTCATGGGCCATGTTTTGAAACAGTGTCAAAGAATGTTACAGTTGGGGTAGGTGTCAGCTGTGAGCTTGAGAGGTGCACAGGTTAACTCTGGGTGGCTTGAGAGGTGCACAGGTTAGCTCTGGGTGGCTGCAGAGATAATTGGTATGCACTTGGGATTTGACTCAGAGAATGCAAACTATATGAAGTAAACCTCAAATATGTTATTTTGTTACAGATTTGAAATCCTTCCTGTTGGTAGGATATAGTAATGCTAATGTACAGTTTTCCCCCAGTTTGTCTCATGGTTTTATTATTTTCCTGTAAGGTAGCTTGTTAAAAATATAATTTAATGAATTTTAAAGCTTTTGAAAACATGACATGTAGATCTACAAATAAAAATAAGTGTCCTTTTTGAGACATGTCCTGGTTTTTGGTTACTGCAGGGGCGTAGCTCTAGTCGTCTAGCTTGATGCCTGTCACATTGTCAGAGTTAATCCTCAGTGCCACTTTCTGTGCTCCAGTGTCTAAGTCATCTCCTACAAAGTAATTCCAGTTGAAATAAAATGAAGCTCACATAATATTTTGTGTTGCTCTGCTATTCCCACACCTGTGTTTGTGAACTTTGCTAAAGCATTAACTTTAAGCTCAAGTTCTGCCATCTATAAAATAAGGAGTTGTGCATTTCTTCCTTGGCTTCCTGGCCCTAAATAACAAACTAGAAAGTTATTTTAGTGAACAACAGTGAACAACCTAGTCCAGAAATGTAAGTAATAATTATTGACTGAATTTTTTTTTTCTTTAAAATTGTTCAGACTAATTTTAGGAAATGCCAAGTAGGAAGTTTGCTGAGGGTGAGGTGGTCAGAGGTCGGTGGCCTGGGAGCTCCCTTTATTATGAAGTTGAAATTCTGAGCCATGACAACAAATCCCAGCTCTACACTGTAAAATACAAAGATGGCACTGAACTGGAACTGAAGGAGAGTGACATCAAGGTGAGTGTGTCTGCTCAGTGTTGGAGTAGGTGGGAGGAGCTGGAGGTTCTTGCCTGACTCCTGCTTTGGGGCTCTGGGTTGCCTCTGGGAATATGTAAATGAGATATGGGCCCAGATCCCAAAAGCTCACTTCACTGTGTGTGATCATCCTGTGAGGTGTTTGCTGTGGGTGCTGTTAGACAGGAAAGGGCCCTGGTTTTTAGGGATTCTTTTTATTTTTTTAGCACTGTTTTCTCTGAGCTGAGTGGTAGGACAAATGGGAAACCATAGGGCGGGCAGTGTACAAAAGGCTGTGGATGATGCTGGCACGGCCAACTGACAGATTTGGGGTGGCTCATTAGGCTTGAGTTTCCTCTTCTATTTCCTCTTCCTCCTCCTCTCTTCCTCTTTTCTTTTCTGTTCTCCTCTCCTCTCTTCTCCTCTCTCTTTTCCTCTCCTCTCCTCTTCTCTTCTTTTTCAAGACAGGCTTCCTCTGTGTAGCCCTGGCTGTCCTGGAACTCACTCTATAGACCGGACTGGTCTCAAACCTGGAGATTGGCCTGCCTCTGCCTCATGAGTGCTGGGATTAAAGGTGTGTGCTACCATGTGGCAGGGCTTGGGTGATGTAAGCAGAGTGACATTTACTAGGTTTGAGGCCAGCTCACAGCTTTCCCTTCCCAGCCTGTCTGCTGATGGTATGGGTTTTAAAATAGTGATCTATGGTATACAAATACTTGCATAAAATGCGGAAAAATTAATTTCTATGAAAAAAGGATAAATAAAGCTGCAGCGTTTCGTTAGATTCTCTAGGCATAAAATTATTTAGTCGGAATGCTCTGAAACCGTCGACTTAGAACTTAGCAGTTCTGGACCTTGTAGCCCGTCATTAACCAATAGTTTGGACCCATGCATGGTCTGCATGAACACTGTGTGTTTTAGAAAATGTTTTAGCTTCATGGCTCATGGGGTTTCTATAGTTTAGCAGGCAGCTCTAGCCATATGGAATATGACTTCTCTTTTGATGCTTTTAGCGGTCATTTAAGACATGTAAATGCCATCCTTAGCTGAGGGCCACATATACAAAATAGCTGCTGGCTAGAGGCCCAGGGGTTTGCCTGCCTCAGGTAATCCCTGGAAACAAGGAAGAAGCGGTTTGCAGTGGATTAGGGCAGAATGGCAGCTGACCAAGGCGTCTAGCTGCTCTGTTTTTAAGAACTCAGTTTGTTTCAGTGTGACTATAGGGCTGCTTTTTGAGAAATGGTTGCTAATTATCTTTTCCATGTCAGTGTTAGGCAGTATCAGTTCCCAGCCTTCTTGCTGTGGCTGGGACTACATGTTATATATGTGATGTAGTCACAGATTCCGGGAAATACTTTGCAAGCTCGCAGAGCAGGGAAGCTCTGTGTCTTTCCTAGAAGCCAGACTGCTGTAGCATCATACTGTGTGCTCAGTTCTCAGACCTGTGAGTTTAGAATGCATGGCAACAAGATAGTGGCCCTGACTGACAGCTCAGCCCTGCCACTGGACATTAGTGCTCTGATAATATCTCTGGCCTTTTCCCTTTTTAGCCTTTAAAATCCTTTAAGCAAAGAAAAAGTGGCTCAACTTCTAGCTCTCCTTCAAGACGCCGAGGCAGCCGCTCAAGATCACGCTCCCGATCCCCGGGCAGGGCACCAAAAGGTTCCAGAAGATCCGTCTCTGCTTCCCACCAGGCTGACTTTAAGGAAAAGGAAATGAGGAGGGAAATTTTGCAAGTTAAATTGACTCCGCTTGTGTTGGTACTTATTTCATCTGTTCACTGCTTATTCAGATTATTTGCACTTTTGTTAGCAAGTATTTGAAATAGAAAATATAGTTTGTTTGAATATCCAAGAAAAATTGTTTTTTATTTTTAATTTTTTTATTTTTAGTGTGTGTACATGTCCATGTGTTTGGTGGAGATGTTGGAGGACAGCTTTATGGAGTCTGTTCTCTCCTTCCACTCCTGCGTGTTTGAGGGATCAAACTCAGATCATTGGGCTTGAAGGCAAGCATTACTACTGGAAGCTGTCTTAGCAGCTTCAAGATAATATTACTAGGAGTCCTGATAGTATGCAGTCTTTAAAAGATGTTTATGTTGAGACAGACATAGCTTGTAGGCCATGAAACAAGGAGACAAGTACTCTGTTAAACATTCTTGCTCTCCCAGTTGGCATCCTTATGCTTGATCACCATCACTGTTTAAAAATCGTGTTTTCAGTGGAATGACTTTAATGGTACATGTTTGTGGGGCCAGTAAGTGTTTTATTTTATGTAGTATTATAATTTTTTTCCTTTTTTTTTCTAAGACAGGGTAGCCTAGGCTGGCCAAGATCTTGTTAAAATCCTCCAGCCTCTGCTCAGTTCTGAGTTCATAGGGTAAGATACCACAGTTGATGGATAAATATTTTAAATCATTTGTTCTCAACCTTCTTAATGCTATGACCCTTTAATACTGTGGTGACCCCCAACAGTAAAACTATTTTGTTACTACTTCATAACTCTAATTTTGTTATGAATCTTAATGTAAGTATTTTTGGGGATAGAGGTTTGCCAAAGGTGCTGTGATCCAGGTTGCGAGCTACTGTTGTAGACACTAGAACAAAGTGTTTAAGTAAAAAGAGTGCTTTTGTATGTCACTCGTTTAATATCATCTCTTCTGGAAACAGCATACAGGCTTCTAATAATCTTAAAAACTAGACTGTGTGTAGTGCACTTAGACTTTAAAATGTGAAAATAATGAGAATAACCTGCCCTGCAGTAGTTTCCTCTTTCTGTTGTTACATAGTAAACATCATAAGATAGATATGTACACATTAGTGTTAAAGTTAGTTCTGTGGTGCAGCCTTGTATGTTTCTCTATGTTCACTGTTCTAAACACTACTTTTCTGCAGCATCAAGTTATCTCCTTAGGCTTAGCCTTGAGGAAATTGAAACTGCAGGTCAGGTGGACAGTGCAGAACAGAGGCTTATAATACCTGTTGCTAGACTGGGTGAACATGCTTATGCCAGCGTCAAGACTATGGATTGCTTGGTTTTCATCTGAGGATTGTAACAGGCCTTCCCCACCCCCACCCTCACCCCCCAGTGCTTGTTAAAGATTTTCACCTCCCTTTTTCAGACTTGGTGTTTTCTTATTACAATGAACTTGCTGTTTCTTTGAGTGGCTGTCTACCACAGGGGGAAGGAGCAGATGCTTTCTGTTATGACCTTTATTTTCACACTATGCTCTTTTGTTGATAGAAGAGCTACGGGTTGCCTTTGCCCCTTCAGTAGAGCCTAACCTACTGTGTAGTGTGATCATGCTATGATTGCTCCTTTCCGCACTTGGTTATGATCTCAGTAGTTTACCTCACAGTGTTGAGTACTTAACCATCGAAAATCTGTTCACTGCATGGAAAGCATTGGTTTGTATTCACCATGGTTTAGAGTTAGCTGACTGCTTGGTTTATTTGTGGTTAGTAGAGATTATTCAAAACCTGAGACGCTGCACATAACTTTTTAGGTGTGTCTCCATTTGCTGACAGTTGGCTCATTCATTGACACTTGGTGTATAGCCTGTGCTCTATTGCTCGGTTGACTTAGAACCCACTAATGTGCTAAAGCTGCCATTTGTCAGCTGGTCATCATCTTTTATTTTTTTTAATCTTTTTTTTTTTAAAGATTTATTTATTATATGTATATGAGTAGTACACCATTGCTCTCTTCAGACACACCAGAAGAGGGCATCAAGCCCCATTGCAGATGTAGTTGCTGGGAATTGAACTCAGGACCTCTAGAAGAGCAGTCAGTGCTCTGAACCACTGAGCTATCAGCTGGTCTTCTGAAGGATATGCTTGTACTTTTTTCTTCTTGACTCAGTCTTTACAGAGGAGGAAAGAGACTGCTGTAACCGTTGCCTTAACAAGCTCTTGAAAGCTAAATTGCTTTTCTTTTTTCATAAGAAACAGGCTGAGTCAAGAGGAACATGTAGGAACATAGTGTAAATACTATGCAGCATGAAATGCAAACAATCGCCGGGCAGTGGTGGCGCACGCCTTTAATCCCAGCACTTGGGAGGCAGAGGCAGGCTTATTTCTGAGTTCGAGGCCAGCCTGGTCTACAGAGTGAGTTCCAGGACAGCCTGAGCTATAAGAGAAACCCTGTCTCGAAAAACAAAACAAAACAAAAAAAAAAGAAATGAAAACACTCAGTCTTCCCACTGTTGGCTGTCTTAGGGTTGCTGAAAGTCTTTTCCTCATGTTTATGTTCAGCTAATGAATGAATTTGCCAGGTTTTACTCACCTGCCTTTCATGGAAACATTACTGTATGACAGTGAAATTACTGAAACATTTAGTATGAAAGTGTTCAAGAGATGGGAAAGTTAAGGTAGAAGTTGGTTCCAAAACATAGTGTTCCACAGCCGTAATCCCAGTGCTCAGGCAGGGGTGAGGCTAGAGGACTGCCACAGTTGGAGGCACTGTAAGAGCTGACTTTTGAAGACCAGAGAAGTCTAGTTGATTTTATCTCTTGTTTTTTAGCTTGTGTCTGCTTCATTCCCAGTAGTAACTTGTTATCATTGTGATGCTTTAGTTGGTTCAGCTCTGAGTCTGTTGCTTCATATTCCATTTAGAAGCCATTTGGAAACAGCGTCGCTGTGTACAACGGGGAGCCCGAGCACGTGGAGAAGAATGCCACACCTCATAAAAACAAGCAGGTAGGAAACACTCCTTCATCTGGCATCCTTTTTCTTTATTCCTTTTCCTTCAGACTCACACAGGAATTTGTTGTATTTTATTTGTTCATGTTCTGTTCTTAAGACTGTATATGATTTAACACATTTATTCTTGTACATTCACAGCCCTATAGAGATGTTGACTTAGTAATGTTTGCATTAAATATAAACTAAAGATATTTAATACTTTTTTTTTTAAACTAGGAAAGAGTCATTTTGTCAGCAGAAGACAGTTATATAACTACACAGTACAGCCTTCGTCCCAGAAGAGAAGAAGTCAAAGCCAAAGAAATAGAGTCCGAGGAACAAAACCTTGTCACCAAAGGACCCTCACCTTTGGGAACCTTTCAAGTGAGCACGCCACAGAGGAAAGACTTGGAGTTTGGAGGAATACCTGGTAGGTGTTAGAACCCCATGACGGAGGGGAAAGGATGGGCAGAGTTGCTCTTATGTGCACAGGGAAAGTCTTTGTTGAGAAGGAAGAGATTGAGGAGGTGGAGGAGTAGGGAAGAAATTTCCAGAGAAGGAACAGTGGTATGAAGGCCTGAGCTGGGAGCTATGGTGGTGTGTGTGTGTGTATGTGTGTGTGTGTGTGTGTGTGTGTGTGTGTGTGTGTGTGTGTGTGTATGTATGTATGTTTATGTGCACACAACATGACTGGGGTGGTACATGGGACACAGGGAGGGACAAGCCATTAAAGTACAAAGAATGCTAACTTTAAAGTCATAATAAAGGGAGTTTGCCGTAGGGAAGTGGTGGCCCTATAGAGACAGGGAGGTCTGCTAGTGATGAGTAGAGGAGGCAGGACCTGGCTGGCATTTACTGCAGGAGCAGGCTGCAGCATAAAGCATCGGATTGCCTTTCCTGCCTGCTAGGCAGGGCAAATGAGTTACTCAAAGAGTGCCTCCCAGAGGACAGATAAGTTAGGCTTCTGTCTGAAAGCATAACAGAGTCATTAATAGTGGCAGGGATTGGTTCTTGCCCATGGGATGAGTCTCAAGTTGGGCCAGTCCTTGGTTGACCATTCCCTCAATCTCTGCTCCATTTTTGTCCCTGTGCTTCTTGTAGGCAGGACAAATTTTGGGTTGAAGGTTAAGTGTGTGGGTTACTCTGTTGCCTGTCTGTGGATCCTGTTCCCCTAACTGGGCTGCCTTGTCTGGCCTCAGTGGGAGAGGATGTTCCTAGTCCTCCCTGCAGTGACTTGATGTGACAGGGTAGGTTGGTACCCAGGGAGTGCCTCCCCTTTTTCAGAGGAGAAGGGAAGGGGAGAATGGAGGAGGGGCTATGGGAGGGAGGCTGTGATTGGGATGTAAAGTGAGTAAGTAAATTAATGGGAAAAAACCTAAAACAAAACAAAGAGTGCCATGTGCAGAGCTTGCAGTGAGTGAGCACGTGAGCTAGTGACAGTCTGGCTTGGATTACCGGCTCTGACTGCTGTCATCACCCAAAATCTGCATGTGTGTGACAGTATGTTAAATGTTAGAAATTTATGGATAGAAAGTCTACCTACTGTGAAGACTAGGCTTGAGTTAAGTGGCTTATGCCTAGAGACCAGAGCTGGGAGGCTGAGCAGGATCTATAGAGTTTAAGGCCAGGCTCCCTGAGGCTGTGGAACCCGATTAGCCTGGCAGTTGTTTGATGCCTGGGTCTCCACACTTGCGCTTTTCTGTGGCTGGAGTTGAGAGTTTCAGAGCGTGGCCTCTGAGGTGGATGTGCATTTTTGTCACTCACCCAAGGTTGTGTGCATACTAGAAGGGACAAGTAGAGAGTTTAAAAGTTACTGAATTTTATTACTTCCGTTGGGGAGGGATAGAATGAGCAAGCAAGCCAACAAGCTCTAGGGCTCATGTAAATGCTGGGGTTTGAACTCCAGGTGTCAGATGCCCTTACCTGCTGAGACACTTTCCCAGCCAAGACAGGGAGAGTTTTGTTTTTGTTTTTTTTTTTAGCTTTCTTTCATTTTATATGTATGAATGTTTACCTGTATGTTTGTTATGTTTACCACATGTGTCCCTGTTGTCCAAGGAGGTCAGAAGAGTCCATTGGCTTCCCTGGAGCTGGAGTTAGATACAGATAGTTGTGAGCCACCATGTGGGTGTTGGGAACTGAATGCAGGTCCTCTGTGAGAGCAAGTGCTTTTAACCACCGAGCTGACACTTAAGCCCCCTAGATGAGTTTTTGATGGTACATTACAAATTGGTCTCAGACAGCTAGTCGGATCTAGTTTTGCCCTAAAGGTAAAATAAATATAAATAAATAACCCACATGATTTTTCAAAACTAAACAAACCTGACTGAAGTTGAGTCTGGGCTGGTTGCTTGCAGGTGTGTCCTTCATCATGCTTGGCCTGCCTGCCTGTGTCCTGCTGCTACTGCTGCAGTGCGGGCAGAAGGACCCCAGGCTGCTCAGTCTTCCTCCACCTCTGCCAGCTCTCCACGAGCTGTGGGAAACCAGTGTGTGTGGCCTTTACCTCCTCTGGTTTTTCGTTCAAGCTCTCTTCTACCTTCTACCAGTCGGGAAGGTAAGGCTTTTGAGTTCGTTGTTTGTATGTTTTTTGTCTATTGAGACATGGTCCTTGCTGTGTAGCCTTGGCTGACTTGGAACTCACTCTGTAGACCAGGCTGGTCTTGAACTCCCAGGGATCTGCTTGCCTCTGCCTCTGCAGTGCTTGGATTAAAAACGTGTACCACCCTGGTGGAAGGTAAGGTTTTGCTGAAGGGGCATGGTTTTGTGAAACTCGTCTGACTTCTCTGTCATTGCTTTAATTTCCAGCAGTTTCAAAGTTAGAAGCTGTTAGTCATATACTGAAACTGTTATTCCTGTGCCCTGTAACTTTTTACTTATTAAGCATAACTTTAGAAATATGATTTGGATTTATCTCATTTCCTATGTTACTTTTCTTTCTTTTTCAATAAAATACCTGATGAAAACCAAGGGGGGAAAACCGAACAACAACAATAAGGATTTACTTTAGCTCAAGCTTTGAGGGTAACATCCATGATAGCAGAAGAATGGCACTGGGGAGAGAGCAAGGTGAAGGTTGTATCAGTGTCAGGGTGGGAGCAGAGAGACATGAATACTGGTGCTCAGCTTGCTTTCCCCTTTTTAAAAAACAATTTTATAATTGTGTGTGTGGATGTTTTTGCCTGCGTATATGGCTATGCACCGTGCGAGCAGAGCTCTGAGAGGCCAGGAGAGGACATTAGATCCCCTGGACTGGAGGTGGAGCTGGTTGTGAACCAGCAAGTGCGTGCTTAGGATTCCCCTGGATCCCCTGGAAGAGCAGCCTGTGTTCTTCTTGTTGAGCCATTGCCCCAGCTCTTCTTCTAGCCCGTGAAATGGAGCCTCACATGAGGGTGCATCTTCTCACCTCCACACAACCTGTAAACTCTGTCACAGCTGTGCCTACAGGCTTGCTCCTCCTAGGCCATTCTTGCTCTTACCAAGAGGGCATTCAGGATTTTGTTTGTTTGTTTGTTTTTAAAGATTTAGTTTATGTATATGAGCACGCTGTTGCTGACACACCAGAGGAGGGCATTAGATCCATGAGCTAGTTGCTGGGAATTGAACTCAGGACCTCTGGAAGAGCAGCCAGTGTTCTTAACCATTGAGCCATCTTTTTAGCCCCCAGTATTTTTTTTTTTGAGTCACATCTCTTTCCATTTCTAACAGGAAAGAATAAGTTATTTGCTATCAGCCTATGTCTCAGTAGAGGCAGCTAAAGAACACCCCCTCAGTGTGTTCACTTGTAGTTGCAACATCTTAAATCTTTGATTTTCTTCTGAGCTCAGTGGATTTAACAAAAAACAAAAAACCCCGAAACATATATTAAAATATTTTCAGTTTTGATCCTTAGGAATTGTTGTCAGGAACCCAGTGTCCTTTTCAGACTTTCATTGCTACGTGTGGTCCTTCTTTCAGTTGTATACCTTTCCTCAGACATGTGCTCAAAGAACATGAGCTGCCCTAAGCAGTACATAATTTATTTCAGATCTTATTCTTAGGAGACTGCATCTTTGCCAGCTGGAAGTTCTCTTAGGAGGGTGGGGCTGCAGATGTGGTGCTGTGCACGCTCCCTGTAAGTGGCTGTCCATTCTTACTATAGGGTTCTGTTTAGATTCAGGTGACATAAACATCATGCATACACACAAACTGAAGCGATAGACAGATGGTGTCAGTCAAGAAATCTTCTATCTATATTGTCAGACTAAGGCCCAAGAAGACACCTGCAATTGAGAAGGATCACGTAGGGTTTCGCCAGTGCTGTGATCTCAGGTTTTAGGTTTCTGTCCTGGGTGTCCTTCCACAGCAGAGGAACAGATGCTGGGAGAGGATGATGATGATGATGATGATATCATCCTAATATTGGACAGCTTAAAGTGAATGGCTACAGTGTTGAGTAGCTACTTGGGGATATATATGGCTGCCCATTGACTCAGGCAGTATTCTCACTGTCTTGGGCATCACTGTGTCCACGGTGTGCCACGGTGGTCCCCACTTGGGGAGCATGCTCATTGTAGTACAGGAGTGTGTGTAAATAGTTGAGCAAGTCAGTGCATACATGATGTTGACAACACACAGCCCGATTGAAAAAAAACCTCTGTTGTGTTAAACTTGTTTACATATGTACATATGTAATTGGCTAGATTCCCCATATGAGAAACAGCACGCATATTTTCTTTTTAGTTTGTGTGACCTCACTTCATACATTTTAAGCCCATCTGTCCATTTTCCTGTGGCCTGCCTCCCTCCCTCCCTCCTCCCCCTTCCCCTCCCTCCCCTACCCCCCTCCACATAAATAAAGACTAAAGGAGACGAGGAAGGACTCAATTCAGGTGAAAGGATATTAAGCTAATTGTTTTCTGGTTCTAATCCTGTCATGGGTTTTCTGGATATGTGCGTGAGTGTATGTGTGTGTGTGTAAAATTTTTAAAGAGGCAGGTGGATTTCTGAGTTTGAGGCCAGCCTGGTCTACAAAGTGACTACTAGTGGGGTTAGGCTGTTCTGTCGTTGATGAGCAGTAGAGAGTTTTGAGCACACTAACCTTGTGCTGTGTGTGGAATGGTTTGCTGAGGGTGATTATTGCAGTAGTCCTGGTGCATTGAAGAAAAATTACCTATGTGTGTTTAAGGTAAATCCCTGTAGTGGGGTTGTGTCATCAATTACTAGAATACTACTGTATTTCCTACTTACTTTCTTGGGTATAATGAAATTCAAGAATTTAAGAAGATTACATACATACATATATATATGTATGTCTGTCTGTGTGTGTGTGTGTAAGAAAGATGACCTGGTTGTGGTGCCACACACTTTTAATCCCAGCATTCTAGATGCAGAGGCAGGTGGATCTGTGAGTTTGAGGCTAGCCTGGTCTGCAAAGTGAGTTCCAGGTCAGCCTGGGCTGTTGCACAGATATCCTGCCTCAAAAAACACAAAGATGATAATGTATTTTAATTTTTAAATAAAAATGTAATATTTTTTTTTTCTTTTAAGGTTGTAGAAGGAACACCTCTTGTTGATGGAAGAAGACTCAAGTATAGACTGAATGGTGATTTTCTTAAATACTCAATGACATAACTTTTAGAGTTTTTAAATTGTTGGAGCTATTTCACTGGGACATTGAACAGTAGATTTTTTTTAGTAGTTTGAAGAACTTGCAGATAAATTAGCTTATTCCAGCTTATGAAAAATGCATGTAAACCAGAATAGTTCTCCTAGTATCTAGTTCTGTTTTCCTTTAATACTTGGAGATGGGATCTCACTCTGTCACCCAGGATAGCCTGGAGCCTGGAGTTTACTTTGTAGTACAGGCTAGCCCTTCTGCTTCAGCCTCCTGAGTTCTGGCATTACAAGTATGTGCTGCTAGCCTGGTTAGTTTTGTTTCCTTTTTCCTTTTAAAGATTTTTTATTTTATGTGTATGATCCCCCCCCACCGCCCCTTTCTCGCTCACATGTGCCTGGTACCCATGAAGTCAGAAGAGGGTATTGGGTCCCCTGGAACTGGAGTAACTGATCATCCAGCCTGTGTTCCTAGGTTGAAAAGAGCAGATGTTGTCCCCAGCCTTTTTTTGTTGTGGTGGTTAAATTTTTTTAAAAAATATTTTGTTTGTGTGTGTGTGCCTATGTGTGTATATATGTGCATTAAAAAAAGAAATCATAATATTAGAAGCACAGACAAACAGAGGAGGGAGGTCTTTACACAAGGACCAAGTAACTGCCCAGGTGCAGTGCTTGGCCTCTGGACAGACCACGCCCTCCATAGAGACAAAGCAAAACCAAACATGACTCAGAAAACCCAAAACACCAAGAGCAGGAGACCTGGAAGCAAAAGTAAACAACAACTTATGACTGGATAGCACTGTAGCAGGCCAGCGCAGGCAGCAAGAGACGGGGCATGTTAAAAATTCTGAGACAGGTTCCATTAGTAAGGAGCTGGGCAAAAACAGAAAGATGTCCAGCATCAGCAAACATGGTCTGTGCTTCTAATATTATGATTTCTTTTTTATGGGATTTTACCACTGAGGAAATTCCTAAGACATTCTGAGTGATTAATCTGCATAGACTATAGAGTGAAAGACAGTTGTATTGACCACTTCATAAATTTTATAAGGGTTAAATTATTCTTGGGAGTAAACTTGGTATGGAGAAAACGGCTTTAGCAAGCAGATTTGTGACGATCCTCTTACTTTATCAGAGCTTAGAAATCCTCTCATTAATGATCTTGACTTTTTTGTGTTTGACTGATACTTGAAATATAACTTGATGACTTTCATGTGGAACATACCTAAGCACTTTAGCTCTTGAAAGAAAAATGATTTCTCTAGCCAGAAGGAGAAATTGTTTACTTCCCACCCCCAAATTGGGCAGGCAGCACCTGTAGACCGGCTTATGGACTCCTGGGGCCTTTCAGTCTGCTGGCTGCCTAGTTTGGCCATGTGCTGGGATTACAAGTGTGAGTGACCACACTTGGTTTTCTCAGGTTTTATTATAGCCTCTACTGTGAGGGTAGGGTATCTTAATACCTGTTTTCTACATGGCAGAATATAACTAGAATCTTTTTATACCATTACCAACTAGTGAATTCCAACATACATATTTGTAACTATATCTACGAAGATCACTCTGCTATTGGGTAGTGGCATTAGACTTGAAACCATGTTCTTGCGCGTCTCTTTGGGAGCTACTTGCTTGACTTTGGACTCTGAACGTTGGAGTAGTGAGTGCCTTTTGAGGGTCTTTTCAGTTTGACAGTAAAGTTCAGGTTTATTAACAGTAGATAATGACTGAAAGAGCGCTAGCATTCTTAAAGGCACAGGAGCGTGGTGTGTACAGTGAGGATTATACCTTAAGGACATTTCTGATTTATAAAAATAATCTGGATAATGAAATTAAGACTTAAATAAACAGAAAAACACTGCATTGGCTGGTAGCTCCTGTGTGTTAGGAGCATCGGGGGCGGGTGGTGGCGGTGGGGGAGTTCTTTTTGAGCTCAGGAATTTAAGGCCAGTTTGGGCAACCTAGTGTGACTTGTCTCAGAAAACCCCCAAATGTAGCCCCAGGATGAATGATGCTAATTAACTCTCTGTTTCTCTCTCTTTAAAGGACTGTATGCCTTAATCCTGACGTCTGCAGCTGTAGGAACAGCAGTTTTCTGGGGCATAGAGCTGCATTACCTGTACACTCACTTCCTGCAGTTGGCACTGGCAGCTACTGGGTTTTCAGTGGTCCTGAGTGTTTACCTCTATGTCCACTCTTTGAAAGCCCCAAGGGATGAGTTGTCACCTGCCAGTTCTGGTGAGCAGTGACATCAGGTGTTAGTTACATAGGTGTATCCAGAGCCCTGACAGCCATGGCTACACTTGAGTAGATTGTTTTTGTCTAGTTTAATTATGGGAAATAAAGAGACATAGAAAACAACTGAAGAAAAAAATTGAAGGCAAAATTTAAATTTTTTTCTCATGCTTTCTATTCAGTTCTCATTAACTTCAAGCTAGTATGTGACTAAAAACCTTGAGCAGTTCTATCTTTCTACCTTTGTCAAGGAGTAAATTCCTTAAAAACAGACAAAAAAAAAAAAAAAAAAAGCAGGCTGCAAGTTATTAGTTCTGACCTAAGATATTTTTTTAAAGTTTCCTATGGACTGGGTGTGGAGGTACAACCTTTAGTCTGAGCACTTGTCAGACAGAAGCAGGAGGATTTCTATGAGTTTCAGGCACTCCTGATCTAAATAAAGTTCCAGGCCAGCCAGGACTACATAGTGAGACCTTGTCTCAAAAACCAAACCAAAACCCAAAAAAATCAAAACAAAAGATCATATGTTTAAAAATAAACCTGCAGTTTCCTTAGAGGTGATCTGTCATGTGAACTCTCAAGAGCAGTGGCAGTCCTGCCTTCCTAGTCCTGCCCTTTGCTTCTGCCTCTGCAGTCTCCGCAGGGAGCAGATTGGATTAAGGTCAACACACTGTTGAGGTAAACACTTTCTCCTTCCCAGGAAATGCCATCTATGACTTCTTCATTGGCCGTGAGTTAAACCCCCGGCTTGGTGCTTTCGATCTCAAGTTCTTCTGTGAATTGCGTCCTGGATTGATTGGATGGGTATGTCTTTTTTTTTTTTTTTTTTTTTTTTTTTAAATAATTTCAATGGTGTGACTTCATCTTGTATTTATATGAAAATGTAGGCAATTTTTAAAGATTATAGTTTTTCCTAATTGTCTTAAGTTTTTCCTAATTTTCTTAATTGACAAATTGTTAATTTGTCTTAACACAAAATATTTTCTTACTATATGTTTTTTACTGGTTTAAGATAACTTGATACAAATTATCACAGATTTTTCAATTTTTATTACATATATCAGGAAGTGATTGTGTAGATAGAATAATGTAAACATTAATTTCTTTTCCCTTTTCAGTAAAACCTTATTTTGACCCAGTTTCAAACTTGGAGAATTACAGAAAAAGAACCAAGAATCCCATTTCCTTAGCTGGATTCCTGTACTAATAGCGCGCTCAATCACAGACCAGTCAAGGACAGTGTTACTAAGGGAATCCGTATCCCTTACTGGGTCTCATTGGTGGTTAACTATTGCTCCATTTTTTCTTCTTGGTCTCCTCAGCTATACTGGTTCCTTAGCCTTTTATGACCATGTCACTGTTTTGAAGAACACTATTCTTAAGACCTTCACCCCTGTGTTCTCTTGATTAGAGACTCCACGTGTTGTCAAGAGTAGCCCAGAAGTGACACACGTCAGGGTTGAGGCTTCTTGTTCTATAGTAGCCATGGGCAGTGTACACTGGAGGTCTCAGCTCTGCTTGTCCTTGGGAGTGCTTTTGAGGCTGTCTTCTTGCCTCTCTTTACAGGTGGTTATTAACTTGGTGATGCTTTTAGCTGAAATGAAAATACAGGAACGCAGTGCACCGTCCTTGGCAATGATCTTGGTTAACATTTTCCAGCTTTTGTATGTGGTGGATGCCCTCTGGAATGAGGTAATTTGTTGGATTGTTAAATTTGGATTGTTAAATCAATTAATTTTTGAGGTCCTAATACTCCATGCTGGTTTGAACTGTGATCTTCCCACCTCAGCCTCCCAGCATTTCTATATCTGCACAAGATAGTTAATTTTAAAAAGAGCTGAATAGCTTCTGCTATAGTTTGTGTTGATAATGCTGAGGTGGTTCAAGGGGCCCGCACATGAACACTGGTGGGTGTGTTGACAACTCTATTTGGAAATGTCTTTCTACTTTCTGATGTCTTAGGGCCTGGATCTGTGAGCTCTGACTTTTATCTTGCCTAGTGTGATCTGGGCAAGATGCCCTCAGAGGGACTACTTTTTTCTTTAACCCAGAACTAGTTTTCAGTAGAGCTGGTTGTTCTTTCCACAGATACAGTTTGAACCCATTCCTTCTTGCTAGGCACTGTGGCATGTACATTTGAACAATGAGAGGCTTACGGTGCAGGGGAGATCGTAGGATGCTGTCATCTGAGAAGGGCTATTTAGGGAAGGGACTGAGACTTGGGGGGGGGTGGAGGAAGTTGAGGTCAGGGAAGTCCTGGGCAAAGGCCTGGGAGGGTTTTAGAGGTCTGTTACATACAGCAGGACTTTTGTGGGAGGAGGCAGGATGGCTGGGATACAGTGCCTTAGGCCTGAGCAACTGCCCAGAGCCTTTCAATATTTTGGTGTGTCTTCTCTTAATATACTTGGCCATAAACTAGTACTTTAACAAAGATGTTTTTTATTTCTTCCCATCTGTCATTTTAGGAAGCATTGCTGACCACAATGGACATCATCCATGATGGCTTTGGCTTCATGCTGGCCTTTGGGGATTTAGTGTGGGTTCCATTTACCTACAGTCTCCAGGCCTTTTACCTGGTCAACCATCCCCATGAGTTGTCCTGGCCATTGGCTTCTGTCATCATTGCTCTGAAATGTGAGTGTAATCTCAGCCTCTGTTTGGTCCGAGGCGCTATTTGCTGTTTTCTGGTTGGTGTCTGTCACATGCCATCTTACTTAATCACAGGCTTGAAATTATCATAAGAACTGAAAACAATCTCAAGTTTGCAAAGAGAGGGAATACATGTTAGCTCTCTACTAGTTCTCACCACAGAACATCTTTTATTTTTAAGCAATTTAACCTAAAATGAATTGCTTTAGGAATAATTCCGTCTAATGCCTGCATTTTTAAAAGAGATCTTAAAAATGAAATTGGTCTTTATATAACTTTTGGTCTCACTGTAGAAACAATCCAGACACTGTGGCCTGAGCTGCTCAGGCAGTGTACTGAAGGCCTACATGACAGGAGAGGGAGCCAGTCCTCTGGGAATGTCAGCTTGAACTTCCTGGAGGATGTGAGTTTTAATTGGAGGCTCAGTGGGTTCATGCAGGATGGGAGACTGGCTGAATGAGCAAGCAGCACATGTAAAGGGAGGGCAGAGAGAGGTCCAATATGGCTGCAGTGAGTTCTACCAGGTCCAGTGGTCAGTTCAGATGGTTTCTCTTTATTTCTTTGTCATTTAAGTAATCATTCAAAACATTCTGGATAGGAAAGGGACCATTGAACCAGAATAGAGCTAGCTTTATGGCATTGATGAGTATCTGTAATGGAAGAGGAGATTCAGCCCCTTGTTAGAGTGGAGGTTCAGTTTCTCCATTGGTTGGATTATTCATGTCAGTGACACCTGAGGTATCCAGAACAGTCTGTGTCTATCCCAAAGAGATGCTGAAGTGAAGATTCGATATTTCTTGTTATTCAGACCTCTTTATAGTAGTTGCACGTTAGTTAGCGCCTGTTGAAATTTGACTAAATCTCCCAAGCAGAGCGGTTTCACACTGAAGTCCCAACACTGTTTTCTGACTCAGCTGGTATTTTACTGAGGAAAAATCGTGTTATGGCTGCAGGTCTCAGGCTAGCAGATAAGTTAGCCTTTAGTCATTGTCACTTGTTACTTTCTCAGACACTGTTCTTTGTGGGCATGGCTAGCAGTGTTAGTTTTGCCTTCAAGATGGATGATGAGTGAGATTTTAGATGCTAGATTATATTGTAATTACTAACAGGAAAATATTTTAAAATTTCAGTATGTGGATATGTCATCTTCCGTTGTGCAAACTCTCAGAAAAATGCTTTCCGGAAGAATCCCTCTGATCCAAAGCTTGCACGTAAGGACTGACTTTAATTTGTTGATTTATATTTATTATGTATAGATTATTGTGCTTCTCTTTATTAGAAGTCATAAAAATAGGTTTTGTTTTTATATAGATTTGAAGACCATTCATACTTCCACGGGGAAGAGTCTCCTTGTTTCTGGATGGTGGGGCTTTGTTCGCCATCCCAACTACTTGGGTGACCTCATCATGGCTCTGGCGTGGTCCCTCCCATGTGGTGAGCCTCTCAGTGCTAATGTGACTTTCTCTGGTCAGAGATATGTCATTGGTTGGAGTTGTAGGCAGTGCCAGGGTCTACTCTCTTGGTGTCTAACAGGTGTTGTCTACATTTTGAGGGGATTGGGAATGTTCTGAGATAATTTTTATAGAATGTAAATGGAACGTTTTGTTTGTATTTGGCATACCTTGGCTCTTAGTGCATTTGAGGGAAGTCAGAAGCCTCATTTAGCCACTGTTGTTCCCTACAGGCTTTAACCACCTCCTGCCTTACTTCTATGTCATCTACTTCACTGCCCTGCTTATCCATCGAGAGGCCCGTGATGAACACCAGTGCAGGAGGAAGTACGGCCTCGCCTGGGAGAAGTACTGCCAGCGCGTGCCCTACCGCATATTCCCCTACATTTACTGACCTGGGCTGCTTGCCCCATAGCTCAGACCTCTCCCAGAAAAAAGGAAAAGTCCAAATGAACTAACTTGATGCACTGACAGGATCTCTAGGTTTGTTTTTGAGTCAGGACTGTAGAGCTAAATAGTATACCTTTTAATGTAGTTGAATTTATTCTCACTAAAGTATGGCAGTTAATATAAGGGGAAATACAAAGATGGTATAATTTGCTTATTAATAGGAAAATTTTAATCCCTAAAAAATCTGAAGTTTTATTTTTGTAGGTTTTTCTTCTTCAAAGATTTTTTTCTTTTTGCCATTTGATTTTTCTTAGTTGAAAACTCTTAAAGTACATCTATGTTTCATTGTGCTTAGAACAGAATTCTCTTTAAGTCAGCTTATTAGTCTGTAAATCAAGCAAGAATCAGCCCAATATTGATGGTATATCTGAAGAATAAGGGCAGATCACTTGCAGGACCTGTTTAAGGGAGACCATTCATAGTAGTGACTCCACCTCAGCCTTTAAAAGTGCATTTGGAAATGTAAACACATAGACTATGTAATATATGGTGACTTTTGATTTTTCTGTACAGTTTTTGAATGTGAGATAATTGTTAGAAACAAAGTAGTTTTTTAACAAAACATTTTCAGTGTTTTAAATTAAGTTTTGTAAAGTAATGTGAATTTAAAAGTGTAAAGCAATTACATTCATTTAAAGTTAAAACATAGGAAAGTTACTTTTCTTTGTCCAAAGTTTGTGAATTTGGCTTTGCTACCTCAATTTGCAGGTGTGTGTTTGCCTTTATAAACTGTTGCAAATAGAAAAAAAAAATATATATTTTTGGAGTAACAGCACTATTTAAACATTTTTACACACATTGGTGTTGGAAAAAATTGCCATTTTAGGCTACTATTTTTATATATTTTTTGACTTACAGTTCAGCAGTGTTTTTGCTACTGTTTAGCTGATACAGTTTATACTATTTTGTATCCTTTATGTTTTTAGAACTCTCTAGAAAGGAGTTCTCTCTGATACAACTTTTAAGTTTTCTCTCTGAGTTTAATAGCCATGCATAAGCTGGTTGTAGCCATTCAATTCTAGTGAGGTTGATTAGTTTCATAGTAACTGTCCCGGAGCAGGAAAAGTGGCAGATTCACTAGACTTTTTTTATTCAGAGCTACATTTTTCTCAGAATAAGGACATAAGGCTGCAATACAAAATGTATTTGGGTTTCAATTATACAATATCACAAATGAGCCAGATGCAGTGTTCACATTGTCCTGCCCTGTAGCTTAAGAGTGTATGTAAAGAAGCCGTGATCATGGTGTGTTACACTCTGATGACACGGTCATTGTCTTACTAATACTCAGGTATTCAGCAGGTGTTTTCCTATCATGCTTTCTTTTCTCTTGGTATCAACATGGTATGTGCTAATAAGCTTAGAAGGAAACTTTGGGGTAAGTAAAGACATTGGGTTCTTTGCCTGGTAGTGATAGGGCAGGCAATGCCACAGTATATGGATATCAGGTGCAAGTTGTTTTTAATTTGATGTTTGGCAAGCTTTGTAATAAAATTTTGATTGGAAACAAAAAGTTAAAAATAAAGACTTGCTGTTAGAGTCTCATCCTCATTTCTTTTTCTGCCACAGCTTTTCTTTTTTTTTTTTTCTTTGCTTTTGCTTTTTTGAGTCTTTCTGAACTGTAGGAATGAGCAGGTTTATAGCAAAGCAAAGATTTGCTAGAGCCTGACCCAGGTCACTCCTGTCATCGCAGCAGTCCAGGGAGTTGGGTCAGGAGGATCTCCGTGCATTTGAGGCCATTCTGGGCTAGAGAGTGAGACCTTGTCTTAAAAAAACAAAATCCCAACAATGGAATCTGAGGGTTTAGGGGTAGAGATAGAATTCCCAACTCCTAAAAACTGGTCGTGTTTACTATTTGCTGTTTAAGAACACCAAATGCTTGCAAAACTGTTGTAGGTTCTGTAACATCTATGATGAAGATGTTTGAAGCATCTGCGTTCCTCTGAAACACCGCACAGACACTGCTTACCTGTTGAAGTGTCCCGCGCATTTGCCAGGTTTGGCTAGGTACATGCTGTGTTACAAGGCTGTTCCCCGCATCTCAATGTCCTGATGCATGGAAGTGTAAGAAGAGCCCAAACTTAAAGTGATTTGGTCTGGATATTTATTCATTCTTCTCACACAGCAGTGCAACCTGCATGGTGATCCAGTGACTAGGAGGTTTCTTCGTTGGTAAATGCACTGATGTTAAGACGGTCGTTGGTAAACCAGTAGTGTTTCTTGACCTCTCAGGTGTGGGGTAAACTGGACATTCAAAAGTTTGCAGTTCTGAGTCTGTCTGGTCAGAATCCTGGGAGGTTTCAGTAATCTAAAAATAAAGATTTCTAGTCAGTTCACAAACCAATATGTCACATTTTCTGTGAGTAGGTTTGAGGGTATTTATGTTTTTGCACTGAGCATATTTAATGATAGAGTAGTTGCATGTTGAAATTGTGTCTAGAGAAGTTAAAATAGGGACAACTTGATAACTTTTGGTATACTATTTATCCCTGAGAGGTAACCACGGACATCAGTTTTAGCCTATTTTTAGGTCTTTAACAGTATTGTACTGTTTTGTCTAACATAATTTACATTTCCCTCATGAGATCATAGGTAATGAGAAGTCAGTCACAAGTTTGGTTTTTCCTTACCAAGGCTGGTGATTACCTTTGTTGGCAAAAAGTGGATGTCAGGAAATTCACAGCATAGCTCAGAGGGCAGTGAGTCTTCCAGTACTTCCTGTTCAGGATCCCATCGTGCTCCCTCAATGAATAAACCAAAAATGTAAACTCCTCTGGGAGAGTGGTTCTGGTGTTGCTGATGAGAGAAGAGAAGGGTCAGGGTACTTCTTTCAGAAGTCACGAACCTTGGCTAAGATTGCCTCTCCCACCCCTGCTGTCCAGTATGGTATATCCCAGCTTATGCTGCCCTGAATACTTAGGGGAAACCAGACTCTAGATTTCTTTTGTTTTTGTTTTTTGTTTTGTTTTTCGAGACAGGGTTTCTCTGTGTAGCCCTGGCTGTCCTGGAACTCACTCTGTAGACCAGGCTGGCCTCGAATTCAGAAATCCGCCTGCCTCTGCCTCCCAAGTGCTGGGATTAAAGGCGTGCACCACCACCACCTGGCTCAGACTCTAGATTTCTAAGTTTTTTTTTTTTTTAAGAGGGAAAAGCAACTGTGAAAGAGGTCAGCAGGTTGTATTCAAACCTGTCTGCTTCTCCCACAGGGCTCACTCACTTGGGAAAGAATTGGAAATTGAAATCAGGTGAGGAATAATTCTATAGTGCATCATTGACACAGGAAAAATAAGTCTTTAAGTTGGAATAAGAGTTTGGATTTCTGGCTGGGCATGGTGGGACTCACTTTTAATCCTGGCACTCAGGAGGCAGAGGTAGGGAGGATGTCTGAGTTGGAGGCCAGCATGGTCTACGAAGTGAGTTTCAGGACAGCCAGGGCTGTTACTCAGAGAAACCTTGTTTGAAAAAACTACACACACATACAAAGAGTTTGGATTTCTGATGAGCTCTTGGGTAGAAAATACCAGCAGCTCCAATATCAAGTGTGTTCTGGGTAGCAGCTGCTGATCTGGGGGGTTCACGGGCAGGACAGGTGAGGCCTGCAGTCCTCGGGATCCTGTGTTCCTCTGGTGAGTCATTGAGGCAAAATGGGCACTGATGTCCAGGGTCATTGACATGGAATTACTGTGTAGATAGGCCACAAGGTGCTCAGGGATGTTCTTTAGCATACATATTCTGAAATGTGAACATGTCGAGGTGCAAGCTAAATGCCTAAAAACAATTTGTATTTTCACTCATTCTATAATAGTTTTCCTGGGAATTATTTTGTATAATGCCTTTTATTTTCCTCTTACTATTTAGGTAAATGACAAGTTCCACCCAGTGCTCTTGTTCTAGTGTTGCTTTTTCTTATAAATCATGTTCATTTCTTATAATTTGCACATTTGATATGATTTCCACTTAAAATTCCATGATTTGCCATGGTATTCTTTTGAGACAGGGTCTCATGTAGCCCAGGCATGCCTCAAACTTTTAAGTAATTGAGGATAACCTTGAACTGCTTCGCTTTCTGAGTTCTGGGATCAGAGTGTGGGCCGCCCCACCGAATGTGGCTGAGAGATATGTAGGAACACAGTGTGTAATTCTCCAGAGAGCCATTTAAAAGTATGGAAGCTATCTTCATTTACCCTAAATTGAAGTTGCTTCTTGGTGTAAAGCAGAAGGAAGTGAGAACCTGCTTATATATACTTTACACTTTCGTCTGTCCTTCCATTCTCAAAGTTTATATGCAGTGTTTTCTCTACTGCTCTTCAGATTTGTAACCGACGACTGACTTTTCATTCCTAGTCTTAAATCTAAACCTCACCTCGTTCAGTGTTCACTCCTCCAGCCAAAACTCTAGGACTCCTATTTTCAAACCTTGTAGGGACACAAATTAGGCTCAGTGTTTCTTCTGCAACTAACTTCTGTTAAACCATCATAACTGTTTCTGTAGTTGGCTTCCCCAGCATCAGTATGAATCAGGGGGCATGTACTCTCCAACAGATGGGCACAACACAAAAAGCTCGGCATGAGTGACACTCCATCCCATTGCCCCACAAACAGAGTGACTGATACTCCACCCAACACACCACACGCCTTTCAATACTTTCAAACACATGAGACTCGGAAATGCCAGAGTCTCCAAAGAAACAAGAGGAATTCAAAACATGTACAAGAACATTACTAAATCACCGCACGTTACAGCCAGGAGAGTCACCAAACCGGTTCATTGAAGAAATCAAGGAAGAAATTAAATCCTTAGAATCAAATGAAATGGAGAGCATAACTTACCAGAACATTTTGGGCACATAGTATAGGCAGCAGCCATGAGAGGAGAGTTCAAAGCTCTGTGTGCTTACATTAAAAACAAATAAGATTCTAAGTAAATAGCCTCCAAGCTCTGCAAAATCAAGGAGCAGCTAAACCCAAGTCAGCTAAACCAGTACTTGTCAGATTGCATTAAATCAGAAAGGGAGGAACAGTGCTAACCTCTTTCTGTGGAGCCAGCACAAGACTTGTCCTGAACTCAGATAAAGACAAAGAAGAAAACTACACGCCAGTCTCCCTGATGAACATAGGTGCAGAATTCTTCACAGGTACAGTACTTGCAAGCTGATTTCCCAATCACATTAAGATCATACATCACAGCCAAGCTGGCTTCATTCCAGGGATGCAAGGTTGGTTTGACATATGAATCAATAAAAATGTAATTCATAAATATAGAGACAAATCATAAGATCATCTCAGAGGAAGTCAGAAAAAGTATTTGAGAATTCCACATACCTTCATGATAAAAGTCCTGAGCAAACTAGGAAAAGACATAGAACTTTCCTCATTGAAATAAAGGGAATAATACAAACTTACAGCCAACATTATGCTAAAGATGGAAAATAGCCCTTTTTTTTTTTCTTGGCACAAGACAAAGGTGTCTATTGTCTTTACTCATATTGAATAAAGTGTTCTATAAGAAGAGAAAGGTATAAATGCAATAAATCAGGAAGAGGAATTGTCTTTTTTTTTTTTTTTTCAATCCTGTGTTAAAGACCATGACCAAAAGCAACTTAGGGAAGAAAGGGTTTGTTCAGCTTAGCTGAGTAGTCTGTCTACTGAGTGAAGCCAAAGCAGCAGTCCAAGAAGGGTAGGAACCTGAAGGCAGGAACTGAGGTAGAGACCATGAAGGAATGCTGCTTACTAGCCTGCTCCCCATGGCCTGCTCAGTTCACTTTCTATACAACCAGGATCATCTGCCCAGGAGTAGCACTTCCCCCAGTGAGCTGGGCCCTCTCATCACTCCTAAGTCAAGAAAAAGCCCTATAGATTTCCTACAAGCAATCTGACTCAGGTGTTTTTCTCTACTGAGGTTTCTTTTCCCAGTCCCAGGTAACTTTACCTTGTGTCAGCTTGACAAAATGAAAAATACAAAGTGACTAACCAGGATACTATCCCTTTTGGTCGCTTAACATTTTATTCCTAAAAGACCTTGTGGATGCCACCAAAAAGCAGCATTAAAAAGAATTCAGAATAGCAGGAAACAAAATCAGCATTCAAAAATCAGTAGATTTTCGTGGGTGAGGTGGCACACGCCTTTAATCCCAGCACTTGGGATCCTGAGTTCCAGGCCAGCCTGGTTTACACAGTGACTTCTAGGACAGCCAGAGCTACACAGTGGGTGGAACCATCTTAAAAAATAGAACAAAAACCCAGGTGAACAACGGTAACAGCAAAAAGTTAGTAGCTCTTATATACATCAAAACTGAACTTGTTGATAGAGATACCAGGAAAAATATCCTTTTTACAGTAACCTAAAAAGTAAACATGTCTGGGAATAAACCTAACCATGGAGATAAAAGTCTCCCGAAAAGTTTTAAGATACTGGAAAAAAAAATTCAAGACATCAGATGATGGACAGACCTTCTATGCTCCTGGATGAAAAACTGTCAAGATGGCTATGCTACTATAAGGAATCTACACAGATGCAGTACATCATCTACCAAAATTCCAATGATAGTCTTCACAGAACTAGGAGAAAAACCCTAGAATCTGCATGAAAACACTAAAGATCACAGATAGCTAAAGCAAGTCTAAGCAGAAAGAACATAGCTGGAGGTGTGACATAACCTGCTCTCAAACTGTGCTACCTAGCTGCAATGGTACGGGCTGCATCATAGGTACAAAAGCACACGGAGACATGAAGACTCAGTGAGAAGCTCACAGAACTGTGGACACTTACATTCCGTCTGTACAACTAAATGAGCCATGCCTTTAGTCATAAGATGGAAGTTGGACCCTTTCTGGTCCTTAGCACCCAGTACCTGGAAAGCTCTCCTGACTATGTTGAGCCTCTTCTGGAGAAGTTTGGAGATATCATCCTCTTGGCTGACATCGATGTTATAAATTACTTTGTGAGTGAAAGTGAGGGCGTCCATGGAGATTCCTTGAGCCCTTCCATGGTCTTGAAGCACAGCAGTAAGAAAGGCTTTGAAGAAAAACAATGTCAAAGTTCTGGGAAGCTTTGGGTTTCCTGTGGGGTAGGCACTATCTCCCCGTGGAGATGAAGGGGAGAGCCAGGGAGGAAGGGTAATGGGGTCCGTATCAGTTTACTCTTAAAATTCCCTTTTAGAGGGAAGCTTGGTAAGAAGCAGAATGTTCTAAGGGGAGGTGAAACGTTCCATCCTGCAGTGAACCTCTTTAAACCTCAGGAAGTAAGCAATTCAGAAGCTTCAGGAAGTTTCTGAAACTGACTAGTTTCACCATGCCCCTCCCTCTCCAAGTGTCAATAAACAGTAAGGATGCTGATATATACTCTCAGGCATGCTGGACAACCTGGGTAAGACACTCCAGCTTGTTGAGCTGTCTGCAGGTTGTGCAGTGAGCTCCAGGACCGTAGCTTTTTATGAGCCATCACCCATGCTGGGGCAGCTTTGGTGTTGCAGCTGAGTCATTGCTGCTTCTGTAAGTAACCTTAATATATTGGTTCACTGAGTTTGGACTATGGTGGTCCTTATTTTGGTTGATTCCCTATCTACTGTGAATAGATGCTTGTTGAACACTTACCCAGGAATAGTGTCACAGACCATGGGGCTGTTTTGGAGGACATCAGTGGGGCCAGGCACCTAACTTTCAGGCCTGTTGCACACAGGCTGTTCTGTAGGTCTAGCGCCCCACTCCCTTTGTTCAGGGAGAGAGGTCATAGTGCTGGTACCTGAGCCTTTTCTGATCTTATTTTGGTTCATCATTTTGTACCTTACAGCCTCAGAGATAGGTCAGAGATCTTGGTCTCAGAGATAGGTCAGAGGTAAGTGAGCGTGCGACCCATGCAATGTCCTATGGACAAGTGAGGGAAGTTCCTTTTTCCTGGGTTTGCTAACCCGCCTGTCTTTTACTGTGGTTTGCACTGAGGGAGGGTACAGATGATAAGGACAACGTCAGACCTATGTGAGGGTGATTCCTTCATCAGGTCACCGGACTGGTCCCTCTGAGCCAGAGGTGCCCTTGAATCCTGCTGATCTCTGCCTGTCCTCTGTCACATCATCTCAAACAGGGAGGCCAGCTGGTTCCGCCTCCCACTTCTCCCATCTGCCTCCTTCTCTCCTGTCCCATGACCCCTGACTGCAGCCTCGGCCAGCATTTGAATGGAGACAAAGTAGGCTTCTCTATGGCCAAGGCCAAGACCAAACCAGAACTTCTCCAGCCTACCAAAGCCCCTGTTCTCTGTGTCATATCAGTGTCTATGACCAACTTCCCTCCCTTCTTCTCTCCCTCCCTTCTTCTTCCCCTTCCTCTCTCTCCATTGCAAAAACTCCCTGCTGTGTCACCTACAGCCATCTTTCTAGCTTCAGGCCACACATGCTGTCTGTAGGTCTTGTATCTGTCCTCTGTTAAACACTTGACTCTTAAGTCAGGCTAAATTAAAAACACAGTCACTTGGGTGAATCCTTCAAAGTCCTCTAAGTTACTAGATAGTTGTAGAACTTTGGGAAAGTTTCTTTACCCTACAACCCTTTTAAAAATATTTTTTCTCATTTTATATGATTTCTCATTTTATATGAGAGTGTTTTGCTTTCATTATGCCTGTGTACCGCATGTGTGCTTGGTGCTTCTGGAGGTCAGAAGATTGGATGTCCTGGCACTGGAGTTATGGCTGGTTGTGAAACACCCTGTCAGTGCTGGTAACCAAACTTGTGTCCTCTCCAGGAGGACTGCTGAGCCAACTCTTCAGTGCTTCAGGTGAGGTTTTTCCTCACTGGACACACAGATGACAACAGCCTTCAAAGACCATGGAGGGAACTTTCTGAATAGAATAAGGCTGGCAGCCTATGGTGCTGTGTGGATGCTGTCTATTCTCCTCTTCTGTCCTGCTTGGGCAATACTTGGTGGCAGGTGTCAAGTCTTATCTTCAAGTCCCTTCCTTAGTGGGCTTCTGTGGCCATCAGTTATGGTCTCCCTGTTTTATGGACTAAGTAGTGATTTGTTCATGCATGGGCTCATGGGAAGTCACCCATTCATTCTTCAAGTATTGACTGTGAACTTTGCTGGTGTTGGACAAGTTAGGTACTAGGGTTGCAACAGAAGTAAAGCAAAACCAGCCTACCCCTGTGGAGCTCAGTGCACTGTGGCTTCCTTCCAGGTCCCTATGGGCCTTGACTCCCTGCTGCTGTGAAACATTCCACTTAGTGTCTATATTGAGCATGTAGGGTGCAGCAGACACCTGACCATCAATTTTTGTTAGTAAGTGTCTGAGGTATGGTATTTTCACTTATTGTAGGCGTTAGGGAGGGTCTTGGTTCTGGGTCTTTGATATGGAACCAGTGGCTCAGGGATGAGAAAAAAATCCTTGCCAAGGCCTAGTGAGGCCTTGGGTATCTCAAGTTATCCTAGAGATAGGGAGAGGAGGTGGGGGAGGACAGGCTCAGGGCCCACGGGCTTGCAGGTGCTATCTTCTGGGCCAGTGGCAGTGGAGTGGCATCGTGCAAACACACCAGAGCCAGATGTGGGTCTGTGCTGTGTGTGAGTGCTCACTCACCTTGTGGAGAGAAGAAAGCAGAGAGCCAGTATCGTGCCGGAAATCCATCAGTGATTTCACTTCCAGAGTCAGTGGAACGTTTGAATTTCTGGCCAAGCTGTTTCCAGGTTGTGATAAGCAACATGTACCTGGTGAGAAACCAGGGGCAGGGCAGGGCAGGGCAGCTAAGGGCATGGCAGCTGCTCCCTCTCAAGTGGCCTTTGCAGCCTCCCTCCATAGTCTACCAAGGAGCAGCACTCACCACCCACCCTGGTCTACCTCAGCCTCTGTCTTGTACTTTCATGGACACAGGGCATAGTTTGAGGCATCTTAGGGGAAGGGGGGGTGGCCTGTGGAAGCCATAGATTTGGAAGCACCTGGCTGAGAGGGATCTGAGCATTTGTTTCTGAGTTGCAGACTTTGCCCACGGTTGAGACTCATCTGTGTCTGGGCACAGGATAGACACACAACCTCAGGGTTTGCATTGCAATACTTCTGTTTTCTAGTTGTAACACCTTGGGTAAGTCATTTCCTGCACTGTGGCTTATTCCTTCCTGAAACAGGATGATGACGGTCGGTACCGACCCCCTACCACGGGACACTGTAAAAACTGAGTCAAGGAGACACAGCTAGAGTTTTTCACACACTATTCCACATTCCCCCTATTCACTTTTCCAGGCAGAGTGCAGGATGGCAGGAAAAAACACATAGTAGGTTATTTCCAGCTCTCAGCATGGGAAGACCTTGCACGAGATTCCAACTTTGAGGTCTCTGTTTTCTCATCCCAAAAGGAAGGGGTGAGGAAAAAAAAAAAAAAACAAACCCATGAGAGTGCACCATGTGGTAAGGTGAGTGGGGAAACCGGCAAGCTCTAGCAGAATCAGGGAAGGACCAAGAAGCAGGGCTGGTCCTGGCTCTTACCGATGGTGTATGGCTGTGTAGGCCACTTTGGCCCAGGTGTTAAAGAAGTTTACCCGCTGGATGAGATTGCTCACCCAGAAGCTCAGGGGCCGACAGGACTTGTAGGCGTACTTCTGCAGATTGAGAAAGAGAGGCACATTGTTTCTGTAAATCTGTTTAGAGCTCTCTAGGCACATTTCTGCCAGGGTGAAACAACTTGGCAGGAGATGCCATTTTTCAGCTGTAAAAACAGTGATAAGCCTGAAAATTAGTACCAAGGAAACCACACCACTCTTAACTGAATGTGCCTGTCTCGGCTACAGGCTTCCGTCACTCTTAAACCTTCGCCTCTTGCCTCTCTCTTCTTTCTGGGGACGCTGTGTTCATGTGGAGCCTGGGTTTTAGCCACTTGAACTCCCTAGCCTTCCTGGTACCAGTTCCTGTCCTTTTCCTTCCAGCCCAGCAGAGCTGGCCTGACCTCTTGACCTTCTGGGGTGCTCCCGTCTGCTTGCAGCCTCCATTGTCCATTGTCTAATCCTGCTCACAACAAGCCCCCAGATGTCAAGTGATGGAGGAAGTGGGGTTTACAGCCTGTAGCTGCCTGTCTTCTGTTTACAGTAGGTGTCTTGTGAGGATATCCTGGTCTCTGGTCTCCTTGTAGGTCCTCATTAAAAGTCAGCTGCTTTACAGGTGGTCCCACTCTACTCTGGGCACTCATCTTTCTTTTGGACTCTGATTACTTCCTTTCAGATCTAGTTCACTGGCTTCTCTTTTGGAGGCAAATGTGCTGCCCAACTCCTTCCAGCTCTTTTCTTCTCTCCACCCTCCCTCACTCCCGATGGTCCCAGCGGTTCCTCAATAGTGACGAGCAGGCTGACAGCATGACTTCTTGCCTGGAGTTCTCTTACCGAAAGCTTAACTCTCCAGTCCCCCTATCTCCACAGACTTCCTGTAACCATCTTGCCATTCGTCCAGTTAGCTCAGCTCAGATCTGTCAGGCAGACTTGAAGCCACTTGCCTTCTGCAGCTGTGTCACAGCCTCCCAACGATGCGGTGCCGCAACAAGCCAGAAATCCAGTCAGTCTCAAGTCCTGTCATGCTCCATGTATGAGATCTACAGATGCTACAAGTCCTGTCATGCTCCATGTATGAGATCTACAGATGCTACATTTCAATTTTTCACTCGTTCATATTCAGTTTTTAAAGAATTAGTTATCACTGATGCCTCTAACCTCTTTTTGTGTTTTCTACACAGGGTTTTTGTTTGTTTTTGTTTAAAAGTATTGTATTGACCTGCAAGCCACATAACCACACAATTACCGATTTGAGGTATATATTCCATAGTCGTTAGATGTATTTACTGAGTTGGACAACCAATACTGCAGTCACTTCCAGCACATTTTCACTAAAAAAGCCAAACCAAAGCAAACAATCAACCCCCCTGGTCCTTTCTCTGTCACTGCTGCATTGTTTGTCACCTGCAGCTGGAGGCAGCCACTACTGTATGGGTTTGTGTGTTACATTGCTTAACTGATGGCTTTCGTGACTATCTTCCAGAGTTCTGCCGCAGAGCCGCAGGTTTCAGGGTTTGCCCAGGTAGCAGTTGCCAGTACTGTTTATTTCACTTGTGGCAGTCATTTGTAATAATTTCCTGTTTCCTAAGACTATGTAGCTTACGGCATTTGTAAACATTTAAAGTTCTATACTAACTAAAAATATGAATAAGATAGAATAGAATAGTGGGCTGAAATACTACAGAATACGACATGCAAACCAATGCCTTTCTCTATACACCGATCGTTAGGACACCACTCATGGTAACTACTGAGATCTGCTTTTCCTGCCACAACATCTGTGTTTCTTACGGCTAGAACACATGCACTTTTACAAGCAAACATATGCCTCCATATTCTTCTGAAGCTTTCAAAACTTTACCAAGACCTTGGGGCTGGGGAGAGGTTCTTTGATCCTTGTGTACATCTTGTGGCTGAACCTTAGTTCATGAAACCAGATTCCTCTTCCTGTGTCTCCAGGTTCTTTTAGATTGATACTGTTTCAGCTTTGTGGTAAACAACTCAAAGATAAATCTGAGTGGAATTGCTACATTGCTGTCTAATTAGTTGAGTTAGCTCACATTTGTACCCAGAGTAGATTAACACAATGGTTGCCACTGACTCCTCATGTAGGGCAGTCAGCTCGGTCAGTGTGGAACCCTGACATTTTTCTCAGGCAAGAGGCAAACAAGCATGGCTACTTACCTGCCACAGCGTGGGCACTCTGGCCCTGAGGAAAGAGTCGTATGTTTCCTCCAGGTCCGGAGTGAGGATGCTCTCTCCCTTTATAGCGAGTTGAAGATTCTTTAAGGATTTATGTATGACAGATAATAACTTATTGAAACGTTCTATTTCTCTTTTCAGAAAGGGTATCAAGACAGAGTGGATAAGGGGATCGTATCCTGAATTAAAGGGAGAGAGAGAAAGAGAGAGAGAATGTGATGTTTTACAGGGGAAAGGTGGTTTGCCTGAGGTATGCAGGCTTCCAAGTTGGAAGAAATCCATGTATTTGATTGTGGTCAATAGACATTTTCTAGAGAAGTCTAGATAGGAAATATTTTAGAGTTTTTTTGATCAACCATACTGCTTGTTATTGTGTCTCATAGTAAGAGTGTCACCTTACCTAATATACAAATCAGTAAGCAGGTGGTGTGTCTTGAGAAAGCTTTAGCCAATCATGGTGGTGCAAGCTTTTACTCCCAGAACTTGGGGGACAGAGGCAGGTGGATCTCTGAGTTCCAGGACAGCCAGGGCTTCTAAGTGAGACCCTCTTTTTTAAAAAATATTTATTTATTTATTTATTTATTTATTTATTTTATATGAGCACACTGTTGCTTTTTTCAGATACACCAGAAGGTGGCATCAGATTCCATTACAGATGGTTGTGAGCTACCATATGGTTGCTGGGAATTGAACTCAGGACCTCTAGAAGAGCAGTCAGTGTTCTTAACTGCTGAGTCATCCCTCCAGACGGAACTGAAGGCTATATTTAGCATTCTGAGAGCTGCACCTTCAGAGAAGCTCTTGTACTAGTGCCAGCACACACACTTGCACTGAGACCACGGTAGTGACTAGGTGATCTCATGGGACCACTGTCTGTTATGTGTTATCACCGACTGCATGCCACACTGCATTTTGGCAAACTGCTGCTTAACATTTGGCTCCAAGATGCATTTTGGAAAGAGACTATGGGGCTGGAGGGATGGTTCAGTGGTTAGGAGCATGTACTCTTCTTTGCTCTTGCAGGGGCCCCAAATTTGATTTCTAGCACCCACATCATGATTAACAACCGGCTTAACTCTAGCTTGAAAGCATCTGATATCTCTTGGTGTCTTTGGACATGTGTACTCAAGTGTATACCCCACCAGCATACAAACAAAAAGTAAAAAAATATGGTTAAGAAAAGGAAAGTGAAATTTAGAAAAAAGGAATTGTGGATGTTAAAAATTTAACTTGGAAGTTTCTCCCAATAGAGGCATTTATCTCCTTAAGAGCTTCATGAGACCCCTCCCCCCTTTCTAAATCTTACTGCTCTAAGCACCACCTCAGAGGCCAGAGAGTGCGGACAGCAGCACTGGGACCCCAGTGACCCCAGCGGAGCCTGTGTCTGCTGTGGTGGCTGCTGCTTTTCTCTTAGTCTTAGTGCCTCTGGGCACCCTCCTCTGTCACATGCTGCAGCCTTGTTTCCCTTTCTGCTACCATCTGGGGAGACACTTGACCTTTCCAAGTGATGGTTGCTCTACTTCCCTCCAGCGTCATTATCTTTCCTGGTGAGGCTGCTGTGTGGGAGAAGCCCGGGGCTGCTACTCACCTTGAATATTTTTGTTTAGCCTCTCCCATATTGGACTTGCCATAATAAATTTGAATGTGCATTGGCTTTCAGGCCCAGACACGTCCTCATTCTCCACCGTCAGGGGCAGCTGCATCATTATGTCAGATAGGACCTCCATCACCAGGTCGTCATTGCTCTGCTCGGGGCTGCAAAGGATTGGGAAGACTGAGGCATAGACCCACTTTTTCTGGGAGTGCCCTCTGCTTTGGCCCTACAGAGGTGGGCAGCTTCCCCGAGCCCACAGCTGTGATACAGAGGACCTCAGGGACACTGCAGCCCATGCCCCCTCACAGAGGAGAGAGCTGTGCCATAATGTCCACGTTTATCAGGAAGGGAGCTGTAAAAGCCTTCTTACAGTTTATTCCTAAAACACTTTTTTACCAGATATGTCTGCAGACAGGCGTGTCCCCAGAGTGAGAAAACAGAGGTGGCCAGCTCAGTTGCTCAGTTTGTCACGTCCCTCTGTGTTTACCCAGGGCTTCTGACTGTGCACTCTGAGTGTGACATGAGCATGTACACAGCTGGGTGTGCCTGCTGCCACATGGCTGGAGGGACGCTTTGGAGTCCTTCCAAAGATGAGAAGTCAGGGTCGGGGAGCTGACAGGGCAGAACGTGGGTGAACGGACACAGAAGTCAGGGTCGGGATGCTGACAGGGCAGAACGTGGGTGAGCGGGGACAGCTACGTTTTGATTGCCCTTTTCTTGCATGTATAGGCCATTTTTTTTTAACCTAACATCCAAGTTTCTTTTTATTTAGTCAAATGAATGTCATCTTTCCAATCAGCTGTTAACCCTGATGCTGCCACTGTGACCTCTAGGCTCAGCAGCACTGCTTCTGGGCCATGTTACACATCCGTCACCCAAGGACAGCATTTTCTGTTTGGTCATCATGCTTTGGTTTTGACTTTTGCTTCAGTTTCTCAGTAGCCATTTAAGATGGCTTCAAATAATTTCAAAAGTCAAAAAGCCTCAATCATATTGAATATTGTTGGGAGCCGACTCCTAGCAGAAAGCGGCTATCATCTTTGCAGCCATCTCAGGCCATATACCCTGACAAAAGACTTGTTTTCAACAGCCCACAACAGCTGAGCACACTCTGATAAACATCTTGTTTTGCTTCTTAGTGCCCCCAGCTGCAGGGTGCACGTGGTATCCACGCTGCAAGGCACGTGGCATTAGTGTCTTCAGCTGTGTTCCCCTGCTTGTTCACAAGGGCAAGGCACGTGGAAAAGCATATAAATACCCAGGATTTCCTTTCAATAGAAGGAGAGACTTGAACAGACTGTTTTGTTTCCATTCTTCGCCCCTCCATCCCCACTCTCTTGCTAGACCCTGACCCATGGACCAGAGCAGCAGGTTGGGCCGGGACAAAGTGGCCCCCGAACGTGGGGCAGAACGGGTCATTACAGAATATGACAAGTCTCCCAATGGCATCTCACAGACAAATGAGTTTCCATGTTTGAGTAACATGACTAGAGGAATCATAGCCTCTAAGTGACTGAAGAGATACTATGAAACATGTTTAAGATGCCTGTTAGATGTATTCTGGATGTATAGCTATTTCTTTCAAACTGAGCATTCCTTCAAAGAAGGATTCCTTCATACTGAGGAATGAACTAAACTCAGAAGGGCCATAGAGTCACAAGTGTCAGGAAGTTCCTGAAACTTAGAAGATTCACAAGGCTCTCTGGAAAGTTATATCAGCATTAACAATCACGGGGTAGGAGATACTTGATGAGCAGGGCAGCCTGCAAACTTTGGTGACAGAGAGTCTGTCTCATCTGTGCTCCTGTAAGTAGCCTGTACCCATACTCCTGAAAGTAACTTCAGTAAACCCACTGGTTCATTAAGTTAGATTTAGGAGGAATGGTTCTTGTTATCTGAGGTGAACAGACATTTGTTCACGTCTCTCCAGCAAAAGTGAAACAATTCCATTATAATCATACCATCTTTCCCTGGTGTATTGGGGAATGATAATAGTATGAAGGATGTCATCAGACTCTACAGGATATTTTACCTGCTGCCCTCTGGGAACATGCTGGATGTTTCCTCCTGGGCATCTCCCTTTCTCCCTGTGTGCAGTTCCCTCCTATGAAGCAGGCAGAACATATGCACGTCTAGTGAAGTGGCACCTGAACTGTGTTCATTTTGTGTTAGTGAACAGCACTGGATGATGGATCAAAGAGCAAGACCCACGTGCCAAACCAGAGAACACTCTGGCTGTTATCTCAACGAGCCAGGACCCAGAGAAACAAGACGGCCGTCAGGAACACAGAAGTCGAGCCAGGACCCAGAGAAACAAGACTGCCGTCAGGAACACAGAAGCCCAGTTGCTTTGGAGGTACTCGGGGAAAATATACATATTTTAACAGCCAAAGAAATGTAAGCTCAATTTATAGGTATTAGAGAATTACGTAGTTGGCATTTGGGGATGTGGATAACGTGGCCACCTTGTGTAGACTTATTGGAGCAATTATCCTGACAGCTACAGTGTTCAGAGTATGATATTCATGTTCCCAACAAGACGTAACTACAGCAAGAAGAAAAATTATAGAAAAGACATTTTTTTTTTCTGCTAAGGAATGTTATTATCTAGAATATGGTGTGTGTGTGTGTCTTGTATGTGTGTGTCTTTTATGTGTGTATGTGTGTCTTGTGTGTATGCGTGTGTCTTGTGTGTGGTGTGTGTGTGTTTGGTACTCATTGCGATGGCTGTCTATTCCTCCTGAGAAGCACATGTGCTTGATTCACATTTAAACAAATTAAGCCAGGTGTGGTGGTGTATACCTTTAATCTCAGCACAGAGAGGTAGAGGCAGGCCTATCTGTGAGTTTGAGTTCCAGGCTGGCTTGGTCTACAAAGCGAGTTCCAGGACAGCCAGAGCTATTACACAAAGAAATCCTGTCTTGAAAAATTTAAAACAAAACAGAAAAACCAAATCCACATAAAAAGACAACTCACCAGGTACAATTCTGTCACCTATCCAACAAATATTAATTAACTACCACATGCTTGGCAAGTGTGTTGTTGTGTACATGTACACAGATGAGTGCAGGTGTGTGCATGCACATGCATATCATGTACTTGCTTCTGTGATGTGGAAAGTTTAGTTTTTCTAACATGCAAGTTATACTTTTTTTTTCCAGATTGTACCTGATAATTCTCACCCGACAACAGTCCTAGTGTGCTCTTACTTGATCATGAGGTAGCCTGAGGCATCTTTCGGCTCCATGATGATGAGATTCTCGATATACTTCTGGGTCTTGATCTCACTGCAGGTGTACGTGGCCTCAGGGTGGATTCCTAGCATTTCCGGAGAGTCATCGTCTGGAAAGGACTGGATAATGTTTATGCAGTCCTTTAAGCTTGCAGAGCTGGGCACTGGCTGGTACATCTGAAAGTTTAATTGCTCTGTTATTTTTGCATGAGCAAGACATCTACCCTAGGTAATGCATGGAGACAGCCTCTCCCACGACCACTCATGCACAAGGCTCTTCTTAGTTCTATATTTACAGACACTCAACACTCGGGACCACTCTATTGCAAACTGTATGACACGCAACTTTCTGGTTGGAAAGTGGGGGGCATTTAAAGGCTAGGGGACTCTAACTACCTATTGCTTTGATGAGATACATGCTAGGTAATGGAAGTAAGAGGCCCTACTTACACTAATGGAAGAGTACAGCCCGAAGAAGCCATGTGAGGGAGGTCAAGGCCTCATGTGTTAGAAGTGCGGTGACTAGTCTGGCGCCACTGGGAGAGGATGAGACTATTAAATAGGGAGGAAGTTAGAGGATTGTGGTGTGACATTGAAGGAGATGTTGGGATGCCTATCCTGTCTGACTATTGGCTACCATCAGTGTGCAGCCTCCCCTGATGCATGTTTCCACCTCGAGGTGCCATGCTGGAACAGGCCCCAAAACAACACGGTTTACTATAGACAGAAACCTCTGGAAATACAAGTCAAAAATACATCTTTCCTCCCCAAAATTGTTTGTCTTAAGCATTTATCAAAATGTTGGACATCTGTCTAATATAAGTATTAATAAGGACTGACCAGTGACTAGGAAGAGAAATGCATTGTTCTATGTGATCAGGAGGCTGGTGGTAGTGGCTTTCACTGATGACCTAGTGAGGAACACAGGACACTCCAGAGAACAAAGTCTCTGATAAAGACATTATCTGTAAATAAACTAAGATTACTACAGTGAATAGAAGGGACTGGTGAGTTGTCAAGTCATAAAAATTTCAAAGCTTGAAAGTAATTAATTGAAAGATTTCAGAATATACACTTTTGTTAATATGGTATGTTGCAATAAAATACAGTGTGTGTGTGTGTGTGTGTGTGTGTGTGACTTTATCTCCTGTTCCCTTACACACATTCAGTGTGACAGTCTACATACACACTCCATTTACTGGGCATTTTAAAGCTTTTCAAGGCTAACTTTAGCTCAGGGACTGACTTGAGACTCTAAACTTAAACACTGCTTTAAACATTTAAAAGCAAACAGAAGCTGTGAGCGCTCAATAAGAAGTATGCATATCGGTTGGCGTGCACCAGGCGGTCTGTAAACGCTGCTGTTAATACACGTTTTGCTTGTTTGTTTGTTTGTTTGTTTTTGGTGCCTCACAAATGAGTTTCTCTCAACTGTCATTTTATTCATCTCCCTGTACTCTTAGAAGACTCTGGGCAGATGACCTGGGTCTGACCTCTACTTGTCTTGATGACACCAGGCTCCAGTCCTTCCCATTTCCTGACTCCACTTATCTCTCCAGCCCCGCCCTAAAGGTCAGAGGTCACTGAGCTGTTTTCCCCTGAAGCAAACATTCGATGGAGCACAGCTACTGGAAGCTAGCCTGGATCTCTGCTCATATGCTCGAGGCCTGCATGGAGGACAAGCTAAGGAGTTGAGGGAAGGGAGCAGAGAGGAGGTGTGAAGTTTTCTACCTCGGGTGCTTGTGGTCAGGACAGGGTTCTTGCATGCCAGCCTTCCACATACTAGTGGTGTGTACTTTCCACCCTGTGGTCCTCAGCTGCCCTGCCTGAAAGCTGGGCAAATGGAAGCTTTGACAACCAGTGAGAAACACATGTGCATTGTCTGTCATGGACTCAGTGGTCTGTCTGTGTGCTGCTTGCTTCTGCTTCCGAGTGCTTTGTGTGTAGCAGTCAAGGTCTTCAGAGGGCACACACCATCTCTTTACCATTCTTTTCACTTATTGCCTGGTGTATCCTGGCACTTAATAGAATAGTGGGAAGCTGGTTTTGTAATGCTGTTCTGAAGGTTAATGAAAGCCATTAATCATTAAAACATGCTTGGAGACATGAAGAATGCAACAAAACCTGGTTAGAAATAGTTAAGAAGAGATGTTCATTTCTTACCTCATTGTTAGAGAAACTGGAGGTAGCCTTTAGCATTTCAGGATTGCAGAATTTGTAGAAAAGAGCCTTCAGGCATCGCTTGTCCCATTCATCAGTCACCCGGCCACCATAGGTCACTTCTGAGATCAGGTAGTTTATCTCCTTCCATGGAACTTCTGACCGACCAGAGAGGACATTCCCCAGCACCTTTATGGACACCTGTGGAAAGCCGCTACACTTTGTTATTTCTGCATGTGTTTTTAGCTTAACTGGCACTTCACACCATACCTACTCTCAGGTGGTAAGATTCTCTACAGAGAACCAGGCCATGGAGTATAGTCCTCTAGTCTCAATTACTTAAGAGACCCAGGCAGGAGATTTACAAGTCCAAGGCCAATTCAGGCAACTCTGACTCAATAGAAGAGGACAGTGGGAGCCGAAGAGATGGCTCAGTGATGGAGAGCACTGGCTGCATTTCCAGAAGACCTGGATTTCATTCTCAGCACCCACATGGTAGTCTATAACTGTCTATAACTCTAGTTCCAGGGGCTCTGATCTACAGGCACAAACATGGGCAATTCACCCTACTCATAAAATTGTAATAATAAAAAAGGTTCTGGGGCTATATCTTAGAGGTAGAACACTTGCCTAGTATGTGTGAGTCCCTAGGGTCTGAGAAACCAATCCTGGAAAACTAACCAACCAACCAAACCAAGAAACCAAGAAACCAAGAAACCAACCAACCAACCAACCAACCAACAAACCAACCAACCATGACCAAAGAGGAATAAAGTATCAGGGTGTGTGTTTTTCTCCATCAGTGACTGTGCTGCTGTTGAGCTATATCTTCTGTAATATGGTTGCTGCTTTAACAGATGTACAGGGCACTGGATGCCAGGGCACAGAAGGATGCAGAAGGGAAGTGCCTACCCTCATCCTTCCTTATCCCTGAAGGCCTACAACAGCAGGTTCTTGGTGTCCTGAAAATGACCTTGCATACAACAACTTGACTTGATGTGACAAACTGGGATCCCAGGTGGTTCTCTCTCCTCCCTAGCCGCTTCTTCTACTGTCCCCAGCTCTCTTGGCCTCTTCCTCTGTCTCTTTCTGACTCTGACTCTCACAGGCGCTACGGGTACACATACTGGCCCTCAGCTGTTTTTGTTCAGTGAACACAGCTGGTCATGCTTCCACTGTGTAAGTCCTGGTACGAGTCTCAGCCCTGAAACCCATGGAGATGCGACTCTACTGTGGGCTCTCTGTGGATTCCACATCTGCACATTCAAGTAAGCACCCAATCAAAACAAAGGCATCTGTAATGAGTGCATGCAGACACTTTCCAGATCATTACTCTAAACAAGATAGCACGGTGGTTCACACAGCACCTGTGTTGTATTTCGATGCCCATGATTTAAAGTACACAAGATGCTGCCTATAGATCGTATGGCAGATCTCCAATGTGCAACTGTTGTGCTTTATATCCTTGGCCAATCCCAGAAACAGTGAGCTTACTATGTGTATGAAGCTTCTTATGTAGGTAGAAGTGTCTAATGGACACAGAGTGAGGACACTGACGAATGGAAGGCCTGCTTCCCCGGCTGGTATTCACTAAGATAGGTAGATGCAAGACTTTTCCTAGAAAACTAAAAAAAAAAAAAAAAAAAAAAAAAAAAAAAAAATAGTTCTGACATAGGAATGGACGGGCAATTAGGGGTGCAGCATTCCATGCCAGAAGCGGAGTTGCAAGGATATTAACTTAGGGATTTTTTTTTTTTTAAAGACAGGGTTTCTCTGTGTAGCCTTAGCTGTCTTGTGTCTCGGTCTGACCAGACTAGTCCTGAACTCAAAGATCTGCCTGTCTCTGCCTCCTGAGATCAAAGGCATGTGCACTACTGCCTAGCAACTTAAAAAAAGTTTAAGGGGACATTATTGTCCACTTCTTTTATGAGCATTAGAGAAAACATCCTGCCAAAACGCACAATATAAGGTACTATTAAAAAGATAACAAATTTAAAAAGGCCAGCCACTGAGTGGTGGAGGCACATGTCCTTAATCCCAGCACTTGGGAGGCAGAAGGCAGCATATTTCTATGAGTTCAAGGCCAGCCTGCTCTACAGAGCAAGTTCCAGGACAGCATGGAATATACAGAGAACTTGTATCAAAAAATCAAAAAGCTCAGGCCAGTGGCTTGCTGTTGTTCCTCTTGTTTTGAATAAGAACACCGAGAGATGTTTTAATAGTGATTTAATAATGATTTATGTGTCATGAACTAATCAAAATGTTTCTTTCACTTACACTCATTAAGTTGAAACTTTCTTTTGAAAATTTGTATTTTATGTGTATGGGTGTTTTGTGGGCCTCGGATCCTCTGGAACTGTAGTTACATGTGGTTGTGAGCCATCATGTAGGTGCTGGGAATTGAACCCCAGGTCTTCTGTTTGGAAGAGCAGCCAGTGCTCTTCACTATTGAGCCATCTCTCCAGGCCACTGAGTTGATTTATAGTGATAATGAGCCTGTGATGTACGTAATGAGGTTTGTCCCTCTCTCACACTGCTTTATTTCACCCGAGACTAGGACCCTGGGGTCACTTGACTTGTCCAAAGATAGAATCCTTGTATAGGCTCAGTGTTGAGGCCGTGGCAGCATTCTGGAAAGCTGACTGTAGAGTCTCTGGGGCATCAGTCCTCATTTCTGAGTCACACAGTATCTTTTCTTCTCACCAGGTAAGTGCCTAGCACTATGGAGAGGCAGGCTACCTCAGCTCAGCTTACAGCTCTCTGTGTGTGCTACGGTCTGCCTTCCAGAGCCCACACTCACCTCCAGGTCTGAGGAACTGAATCTGTAAGGGATATTCCAGCCCAGAGTTCCATACGCTTTCCTTTCATTGAGGACAGCACTGAAAAAACAGAGGCTGAAGAGAATTTTTTTCCACCATGGTCCACAATCAGGCTTATCAAATACATCTTCTGTCACTTCTCCACTCCCGCCATAGCCAAACATTTGAAGTAAATTGCTTTTCAATCCCTGGGGAGGTTCCACGGCAATCTTTTAAAAAAAAAAAACTAAAGTGAGCAAAAATGTCAAGTGACTATATATGGGAACTGGCCTTGAAGAGGGGAATGGGCCCAGAGGGGCCACTCCTCACAGCGCCTGGTTACATACATGGCTGATAGCTGTTCCCAAGGACCACTGGGCTATTCTTCTGCCTCTCCAATACCCCTGTAACAGGATTACTTCAGATTTTGTTTCATGATCTAATTCATATTTAATTTTGAGACAAGGTCTCACTATGTAGCCCTGGCTAGCATGAAACTTACTATGTAGATGTGGTTGGCCTTGGACTCACAGAGGTCTGTCTTGTTCATAATTTATGAAGACAAACTACAGCACTGGATTGCTATGACTGTGACCACAAGCATAGTGTTTGGGACAGACAGAACTTCAGAGATTGTCAGGAGCCATCTAGGAGAGGATAAGGCTAGCAGGTGACTTTCCTGGAGGTGGCTTTTTTTTGCATGGCTTAGGATGGGTGAGCTCTGAGAGGTAAGGTCCCAAGAGACTTCATCTCAGGATTGCTTCTTGCAGCTGATATGCCTTTTCCTATCAAAGTCTAATGATTCCCAGGCATCAGCCCACCCTACTGGGCAGATTTCCTGCAGATCAACATAAAGATGAACTTTTATGAATTAATGCTATTTAGATGAATGAATGACTTTATAGAATTCCTGATTTGATTTAAATAATTTTAGGAAGAAGGTTTTAAGAGATGGCTTTAGTTGTTTGCTAGAAAGGTATAATAAAGTTAGAGTCAAGAATAGAATGTGCCCACTCCTCATAGAATAGTAAGTAAAGGCTACATAATAAGGAATACAGGGAGGTTTCATAAATTACACTAAGAAGAGAAATAGGCTCGAGACAAATTTGTGATCAAGGAAAAACATTCATCCTAGATCATATCCAAGTATCAAGCCACAGGTGTGCACTATGATAAAGTGAGGCCATGTGAAACAATTGCTTTGAACTTATGATGCCCTTACAGAATCAAACACTGCTTTGAACTTACTATAGACATCCTTCTGTAACTCCTTTATGTACATTTTATCTATGAGGTAGTTTTTTTTTTTTAAAGAACCTTTGTCTAAGAAAATATAAAAAGGCCAGAGGAAAGGAATAAAGTGTGGTATCTGGGGCTCTGCCCCATCCACTCACCAAATGTACTTGTGTATACGTCTGCTTGTATATACATATGTGTGTAGGTGTATGTATGTAAGTATGCAAAAACATGTGTGGAGTTGATGAGACAGGTTGTGGTTGTGCCCAACCAGAATGATTGTGTGTATGAATGTATGCATGTCTGTACATATTGTCTATGTAAAAGATTTTCTTTCTTTTCTTTACTTTTGTTCCCGGTTCACAAAGAGTTAACAAGCCCACGTGAGAGGCTCCTGGGCAAGAGAAAAAGGAACTCTAACGGTAGATTCTTTACTTAATTTCCTGATGCTAACCAGCACTTATTAAAGCACAGAGAGTTACAGAGTAAGAAACCAGCACTTATTAAAGCACAGAACAGTAAGAAAGAGTTAAGTTTTGCCATCAGCCTCTGGTCCCTGGAACAGTTAAGAGTTACAAGGCCATAGATCTTCAGTCTCTGGCCTCTGTCCAACTCTGTTTCACCTCAGCTCATTCTCCAGCCGAGCAGGCCCCTTGGCAGAGTTTGTCAATGTGCTACATCAGTGGTGGCTAAGCTATGGTAAGGGCCGTCAGCCAGGGAGCATGAACAGGGACCAAACCACAGGAAGCAGGACACTGACTGAGCCAACAGACATAGGCAGTCATCACTCACACTACAAGGGAGAGTGGTGATTTTGTGTGACTGAATTCTGATCACCTCAGGGACCCAGGTGCCTGTTGATTCCTTCACTGGAGTAGCTTAAATGACCAACTGTGAGGGTTTTATGAGTATGTGTGTGGCTGCTAGGGGGTCTTGGTACCTGTGTGTGTACAATAACACACACACACACACACACACACACACACACACACACACACACACAAGCTGAGAATTGAAACATTGGCTAATAGAGTGTCTTGTGCAGTTGTTATGGTGTACAGCACATAAACACTGTGTGGCTGTGCAGATGTGTCATACGGATGGGTGTACGTATTGAACATGCCATTTCTATATTCAGGATCAGATTCATTACTTATGTGTGGCTCACATCAGTTCCTTTGTGTGTTTCTATGTTTCTCAAGGGGAATGCAGTGTGAGGCACACGCCCCTGTGTGTGATTGGTCTCTAAGATGTCACTAGAGCACGTAGAGATAGATGGCTGCAATGGTAGCCCCTCCTCTCCTCCAGAGTCACAGAAAAAGACACTTTTTCTTTGAAATGTAAGTGCATCATTTTGGGCAGAAGGAAGTTCTCTAACCCTTGTTTTGTTTTGAGACAGGCTTGGAACTTTCTATGTAGATGTAGAGTAAGCTGGTCTCTAATTCATAGAGATCCACTTCCTGCCTTGTCTCCTGAGTGCTAGGATTTAAAGGCACCACCATGCCCAGCTTTATTGATAGACTCTTACAGTGGGATTAGAGCAACAGACCTAATCAAGGTTAGTGTCCCTTGAAATAAAGGGCCCTTTATGTCCCGCTTTGTTACTACTGCCTTTCCACGTCTACTCCCAGCCAAACAGAGAGGCCACTTGAGGTCATAGCCGTACCTTGGGAATAAACAGCTTAGTAAGCTCTGTCTGCTCCAGGGCAGGACTGTGGGATGTGACTCTGGGTAAAAGTACACACCAGGGGTGGTAGAATGAGGAGCAGTGTCTCAGGAAGGTGTTTCTAGGAGTTAGTCTGGCCAGGCATGGTCTGCATATGATATTCTACCTGCATCTTCATCAGTTTTTCTGTTGCTTTAAATCTATCTTTATGCCAACCGGGCCCTTAACAAGACTGGCCAAGTCTTCATAGTGGGATATCAGAAGTCAGACATAATCCACAATTAAAGTTATTTTAGCAGATAATCTGTTTGCTTTCTGCTAGAATTTTCCAGAGAGTTAACAAACCATAAAATGGTCAAGAGGAATAAAAATAAGAAAATGGCACATAGTTAGGTGTAATGGCTCTAACCAATACTCAGGAAGCTGAGGTGGGGGATCGTTTACTCTCAGGAGTTCAAGGCCAGCCTGGGCAACACAGCAAGAGAGAAAGGAAAAAAGCTATATAGAAATTTGCATTGTGGTTTGCAATGGGAAGCAGAGCATCCTCTCTGAGAGGCAAGTGTCGGAGCTGGGAGTTGGAAGCAGGTCTCTGTTCTGTGGTAGCCCTTCCCCACATAGCCAAGGCTGACAATGAATACAGCATGAGTTCTCATCTTGTCTCACAGTAATGAGTGCCAGGGCCTTATTAACAAGCAGGGCATGCCAGGCAACACTGAAGTCCTGCCAGTTTGTTCTTACCTTCACACTCTTCTGAAGAATCGTAATTGGGAAAAATTCATATGCTCTTGAGCTTAGCCAAAGCCTAAAGTCAGGATCTATGACCGTATATGGACTACTAAATCTGCAAAATAAAAACATAAATATTAAAAAAAATTGTGTGGTATTGTCTTAGAGACAGAGTATTTTAAAGTTTCTGTGGCCTTACTTTAATGCCAAAGATATGTCTCATTGCAAGAGCTTTGATGATGCACAAAGAATTTTATAAGATCCATCAATTTCTATTTTTCCCCCTTTTAAGAAAAAAAATCATAAACTCATTATAGTAACTTAGGAAACCTTATAAAACATGAGTCAAAGTGAAAGCTAGGTGTGGTAGCACACACCTCCACTTGGGAGGGAAGCTGGGGACATGAATTCAAGGTTAGTCTTGTCTACATAGTTATCACAAAGCTAGAATGGGGAGGGGGACAGTTTCCCCGGACAAACCTAGGGCAACTGAACAGCAGAGTAAAAGACTGTAGGCCTGCTTAATCAATGGAATACAATGAGACAACATTCACATTGATATGAATATATTAACTAATAAGTAGACAGAGAGGAAATGCTTTTTGTTTGGCAGCCATTCATCGCTGTGATTCTTTTTCTGTGTGATGTGCTGGGGATGGAAGCACATGGTAAAGGTGAGTGGTTAGAAAGCCAAGTAGGTAGGAATGAATCAGCCACAAGTTATTAAGGGATATGAGGACTATCGGGGAGAGTTTCATATACAAAAACGGTCCGAGAGTTTCTATAAGTGGCACTGTAGTCATGTAGTCAAAGTTGGCATCAGTGGGAGTGAAGCAGAGTGGCACTGGCAAGCCACACTGCAAAGGCCTAGCACATCTGCCACGTTCCTGCAGGCTCAAGGTGAGAGCTCTGGAGACTATCCAAGTTTTGACACGGTGGCATGACTTTGTTATCTATGAGCTTCATGCTCAAGATTGAGTTTAAGTTACTGAAAACATGACCAAAACAACCAACCAACCAACCAACCAACCACATAAACAAAACAACCAACCAACCAACCA